ACGCCGGAGAGGAAACAGCGAAGGAGGGCGCCAATAAAGAAGAGAGGAGAGCCGAATGTAACGGCAAAACGCGCGTCTAGCCGCGAGCGCGACATACACGCGAGAGATTGAATCGCGCTCGGTCTCGCTGTCTCCTGTCTCCCGTCTCGGGCCGTGTTTATGCTACGCTAGCCGACGTGATGCGGGCTCGCTCGCCCTTCGCGCTCTGGCAACGCCGCACTCTCTCTCTCTCTCTCTCTCTCTCTCTCTATACTCCTTCTTCTCCTCCGTCGTCTTTGCTATCTCGCCACTTGAGTTTATTCCCTCTGTTTCTCGCACAGCGCTGCTCTCTCCGAGCCCCCTCTGCACACGGCGGAAACTATAACCGAATAAGCAGTTGTTTCTGCTCTCGCCCGAGCAATACTAATTTCCGTCCTCCGACTCCTTTCTACCCTGAATAGCTATCGCGACGAGTAGCGAACGACTCTCCTGCTCTCGTTCAAACGCATCTTTCACAGCGCGTAAGAAGTGTTCGTTCGCGTCGCTCATCTCCGCGAAGGCTTCAACAAAAGCAAGTGTCACGCGACGTATCATCCGCAAGCAAGAAGAAAGGGGGGGAGGGGGGGGGGGCATGACTCCATGAGTCAGCCGGTCAGGAATTCTTTTCCTTCCCTCTTTTCTCGTCGCTGCAGCGCTGACTCGATCGTTTACCTTGTGCGCGCGAATTTCGCGTCCACCTCACGCCCGCGCGCCGTTTCGTTCTTCTCCTGCAGCGGCTATTTTTAAATATCGCAAGCCAAAGTGACGTCATGCAACGAATACCTCGGTTCGCGCGCGGCTACTACCACCCGCGTGTGACACCGCAGATTTTTACACCGAGTATAGACGTGTAGTCGTCGCACTGACAACCTTATCTTTTCTATCCGAATCTCTCTGCTTCACGAACCAACTGATACGATAACGCTCCTTCGCGGTTCCAAAACTGATAATTTCAAGACGTACAGTTTGTTCAGATGACTCTTCTTGTTTGTTCTATTTCACGAAAGCTATCTTATTTTTCGTTGACCAAACGGTTTCTTTCTTTATTTTTACTATACCCTATTGTCCGTGACAAGTAAACGACCAGCCGACTTTACGAAAATGGAGTATACTGACACGAAGATGAAAACAAAAAAGTTCCAAGTGGCCTGATAAACAGCCGATCTTAGCGATGCTCGCATTCGTCAAATCGGCTGTCGACGTTCTCGGCTACGATAGATCACGTATCCCAGCGAGCGAGTTTACTGTGTTTGCATTTTCCAAATTCTTTTAACAGTACATTAAGCCGTGGCACGAACGCAAAGACAGCGGGCTCCAGGTAAATGAATACAGCACTGCACCTACAATGAACGGACGCCGACCTCGCTCCCCCTTCCCTTCCCATCGTGCGCTCTCTCTCTCTCACTCTCTCGTTGTTCTTTCTTTGCTATATAGCCTGGCTCTCTTATATGACGCGTTTCTTAGTTTACCCCCTTGATCGTGCTTCATTTTTAGCGCAAGTACATAAGTAGCAACTCCGCGAGGTGACACGTTTGTATACGTATAGGCGCAAACTAAACTTCTCCGAGTCCTTTAATAGTTTTACCTCGTTAGCCTTGAATAATGCATATATTCAATCATTCGTTCAAAATAATAGCCTTTAATTTTTATTATCACGAAATATAATCAGCGGTTGGATCTGCAATGCAGAACTTTTCATCGTCCAAGTTGCTCGCTCGCTCCATTTGAAATAACTAATATTGATTTCGTTAAAGTTCGTCCCATACATGATTAAAGATATTCAACAATTGACAAATACATTACTCGGTCGTTGACAAGCATTCGTTTCAACTAACATAGTTCCTAACTAGATTTCATGAAACGTTAGATTCATAAATTAAAAAACCACATTACACAGTAATACGGTTAATTGCAAAAATTGTGCAATATTTGTTGCGCACATTGACTTATGGACAATAATGCCCCCTCATTTCAGTATTAGCAAAAAAATATAAATAAAAAATATTTAACTATCGACATTTCAGAAGCATTGGATTAAAAATCTACGCTTATGCGCTGTTTCCTTCTTCAAATTCTAAAACTATGCAATAACTATATAGTCGTCAAGTCTTTTAATTCGAATTTTTTTCAACAAGTATATCTCAATCAATCTTTTATCTGGAAAAAGCTCTGCTTCAATTGAGGAATTTAGGGGATGAAAAGTTTCATTTTTGAAATGCGAAGCGTCGGCTTTCCCAAAGAAAGAATTCAAAGATAAAAGTATTAAATATACAGTAGCAGAAGTAGAAAAGTAAGGACGAAGTTGAAACAGTAAGAAGAAGAGAGAGAGAGAGAGAGAGGTTGAGAAAAACGCGGGTAATGACAGAGTATGCAAAGTGCATCCGGCGCACATGTTCATAGCATCTGCATCCGCATTTTTCAGAGCAGTCAGCTTTATGCAGCTGAGACTCGATCTTCTCGAAGACATGACACAGATGAAAAAAAAGCGCGGCATGGCGTTGCATACGCGTGCAATTGCACTGCAGCAACAGTTCACTATAGTACAGGCTGTTAATCGCCTTGTTTCTGTCTCTTCTTATTTGCATAATCCTTGTCGTCGGTCTACGGCAGTGTGGCGTGTGTGTCGATGCACACGCGAATGGCCTGATTTGCCTGTATTGCCCCGGTATATCTTGCGCGCGCCGACACGAGGATATAAACTTGCCAAACTCTATATATATCTCGGCCAAGAGGAAAACCAGCCTGACCCTAAATGGGACAGGATGCAAAACGGCGCTCTTTCCCTTTCCCGAAAGCTCGCGAGAAAATGCACCTTTACTTACAAACGTCGGCACGCGCGGCCGAAAGCTAAAACCAATAATGGGCCGCGCTGGTTAAAAGTCCGCGACCGTCGCGGTACACCTACCGCCACACATTCGCTGTCGGTCAATTCAGCACTCAACCTATGTAAGTGTACAGACCGGGGCATCGATCACACAAGAAAGCCACTATACAAGTATACGAGTTTGACGACCTACTGCATTGATATTGTATACGCAATGAGTTTAAAGCCGATCGACATATCAATCTATCGTCATTCAATTTAATGCATCTCACGCTGCTTCTCGGATATTGTCTTTGAATGCTTTTATAAAAGCGTACGTCGCATAAGTTCATTCGAGCTCGTCGGATGATCAAATCAAAGTCGACGAGACTCCACGGTACACATCGTGAGAGCCTTGCATCTACGCTTTTTTTCTTTCACTTTTTGTTGTTTTTTTTTTTGCAAGAATAACTACTTAATGCCTCAATTAGAGCGGTATATCGTTATAGAGGCCAACCTTCACCGTTGACTCGATCGGAAGAAGAGAGAGCAAGCAGGGTGATGCATGGCAGAGTGGGAGCGAGGAGTTGCATCGCTCGAAGCTAAGCAGACCCTGTTCGTCTGCGTCTGTGTGTGTGTCTGCGTGCGTGCGTACGCGCGCATTGGCTGTCATTCCCACGGGTTTACGGATAGCGTAGTCTATATATCCACACTCTCTTGAGTGCTCTCCAACGCCTATATCGCCTACATTTTGTAATTCAGTATGCTGCTGCTGCGGCAGCTCAAGAACCAAAAGGCGAAGCATGTGTACAGATCCGATGACATCGTTCAATCAACTTTCTATTCTATCTCACGCTATCCGCATGGCCAACCAGCCATACCTATACTTGCACACTATGCTCTAAACTTACCCTTTCTCTCTCTCTCTCTCTCTCTCTCTCTCTCTCTCGCTCTCTGTTTTACCCAAAAATCTACGTAAACACGCTTCAAATTTTATGACTCGCTTCCAATCGTAATTTTTCTCCTAAGGTATTTATTGAGATGCTTCGAAAATTAAATATGATATCCCTGTCGATATCTACCTAGATCAACTGTAATTTACTCTACTTTTGTATTTTTCTAGCGTACGATATGGATATTAAGTTTCAGTCTTTCATTTCCTCTTACATTTGGGCCATCCTTTATAATTGAACTTGAATGCACAAATATTGCAAACCAACGATGCATTTACAGTGCAATAATTGCATTATCAAATACCACAACCTGTGCCAATAGACTATTTTTTTTGTTTTTTAATAATACAGGATAGTAAGCATTAGCAATCGATGCAAGCGATTGCAATGAATTCTATCGAAATGCCAACTTATGCTTTCAGTTGAACGTATCTGGTTTTTTTATTTACACGTAACGGTATAATCGTATCGTAACATCGATGAGTCATTTGTACGTTTAATCAACGCGTTGAGCCGTATAAACATTTAATTTTAAAAGTGTGATTTACTTTGAAAAAATTGTATGTATTAACGTTATTAGAATTTAAACCACGATATTTGACAGCTAATTACTTTTTATGACCAGCAATTCAGCGTCTGCGATTAAAAAGTCATTCCTTTCGATTATTATTTTAATTAAAGAACCCGCCGCGTTCGATGATCATATAAATAATTATAAGAAACACCAAAATAATAACAACCAAATAACGAGCTTTAGTTAATGATTCGTTAAATTGGCATTTCTTTTTACAGCAACGTGACCAAGGGTAACCAATTGGTTTCATCAATAATTAAAAAATATAACAAAACACGTTTTGCTGTATGTTAACTCGTATTTAACACGGACGAGCTTAATTCTTAGAAGATCATGTGAGATTATTGTGCATTTCATCGCTCTGAGAAATGTAAAACTAGTTAGCCTGTCTCAACGAAATATCCAGCGTACAAGTTTGTTCTGAAAACTGAGAATTGCTCGGCCAACAAAGCATCACCCCGTCTCAAAGCAAAAACTCAACGAGGAGTGCTATAGCCGCGAACGAGCGCACACAGGTAGAGAGAAAGGGGCCCGGGAGGAGAGCTCAAGCTATAGTCAGGTACATGCTACACTGACTACCTTATACTAAAAATAAGAAAGAGAGAGAGAGAGAAAGGAAAATGACTGGACTCGCCTCGACCCATCTACTCACCGATGGTCGTTGATGCAAACATCAGCACTAGAAGTAACACTGCCTGTGTGACCATGGTTCTGGGCCTCGCCCAGCAGCAGCGTGCAGACCGGGCCCAGCTACGATCCTCGCCACCCAACGAACAGCGCCACCGCACCGCCGCCGCCATACCTTCTTTTCCTTTCTTCTCCTCCTGCTCTTCTTGAAGCTCGCGTCGTTGCAGCTCTGTTATACGTTGGAAGAGACGGATTCAAAAGTATAGCTTGGCACTGGAAACTATAACCGGTCGCGCGTCCCTCTCGCGAGAGCCGATCTCGCGCGCGCGTGCGGCACTGCGGCAACGCCTTGCAGCTACCTAGCTCGCTCACTTTTCAAGCGCACTCAACAATCACACACGCACACACAGACACCTGTGGCGGCGCGACCAGTCATCGTCGTCTCGATGACTCGTTTTCTCGCTGCGATGTGTCACCTACGAGTACGAGCATCAGCGAGTATCCGATCGCGAGTCTTCGCTCGCGCCACATCCTCGTCTCTGATCCACTACACTTTGATTGTATATGACGTATATGTACAAAGGTCGACACTGGCAAACTTCACAGCACGAGATCAGTACCTTGAGATAATTTTACTAGAATTAACGTCTTTGAAAATCAAACTAATGCTGTCGCCGATCTTTCTTTGCCGTTAGAATAAACATACGGATATAAATGGCAGTGCTCGCGGCCGGGCGCTTGGGCCAACTACTCACGCAGAGACTCCGGCAGAGCACGCGGCCGCTCGCGCCGCGCCACAGAGAAAGCGGGGACGCCAGCACCGCCGCACCGCTACCTCCCCTCCGCTGCCTACTCGGCTGCACGGAGTCCAGTTCACAGTATGGAGCAGCCTTTAAAATTCAGTACGCGAGAGAGCTCATACGGCGAACGACATTTTGAAAACTCAATTCACAATGGAAGAATAATTCTGCTGATTTTTCCGCAATGTCAGAATGTTGCAACAGAGAGAGAGAGAGAGAGAGAGAGAGAGAGAGCACGGACGTTTTTCATCTCTTTCTTTCACACACTCGGCATACTCAAACGCACTGACGTATAACAGTGGAGGGGAAATGAGTACAAAAGCATGCGAGCTACACAACTGAACGCGGGTGAGAAAAATAGTACAGGCTTTCTACTTTACCAACTATACAGCGCCTAACACCCCCTCCGCGTAGCGTCGTAGCCCTGAGTGCCTTCACAACTACTTGTTGATCATTCTCGCGACTCAGTGACGGATCGAGCATTCTGAGGAGCCTTGCTTGCATTCATATCTGTCCTATATATCTATCTTATATATCTGTCCTATATATATCTTATGTATTTGAACAACTGCGCGCAAATATTCTCCCTTATCATGTATCCAAGTAGATTTAACAAGGTTTCAAACTGTGCTTAACCTTTAAAATCCTTTATGTAATCATATCTAACCAAAAATTTCCCTTCAATGATTCGTTTAAACAACAAATATTGTCATACGAACAGGATCTTATCGGTATAATAATTCATTATTGTGTGTGAAATCAATCAAATGAAAAATTGTATTGAAAATATATTTACGTGTGTAAAGTACAGAAAAATATAATGTAATTAAAATATTAAACTTTTGCAAGGGGAGGCAGAAAACGAAAAATAGAATGTGTACATGTAGATAAACAGAAAAATGAAATGATTTACTACTAAAAGCTTTTGGATCACACATCATCTACAACTGGATTAATAATATCCGCAAAATGAATAGTTTTTAACGGTTTTTTTTATTCTTCATGGTCATAAAGATGAAATATAAAATGTACAGTCCACGCGTGCACGTAACGCACATATACGATTTTTACATTCGACAAGTTTATGTTACCCGGGAGTGCAAGATATAGGAGATCACAATAAATAAGCAGCCAAGTGAAATACATGTGCGTTCATTAAGCTATAACAGATAATGAACGCGTGAATGCACGTCACATTAACGTGAAATTTTTACATGATAACATGCATACCTAGCAGCTGTACGCACGTGGTAACAAATGCACAGGTAATAATAAATGACCGCTAAAAATATAAAGCTAACTTGACGCGTCCACAGCATCAATGGAGATAGACGCTTCTATCCAGATAAGCGTCTATCTGCGCCGGTATAGTAATGGCCTTCGATCCTCGGGGGAGGATCGGTGCTTCGACGTACAATATTCACGAAGAGCCTAATCTCTATATGGGCTTGAAAGTGCGCACATTAATGGATACCACAGCTGTGAAATCAAGTGGGAAAGTCGAGCTGATGCTGTGGGCACTGTCATTTATCGAGTGAATATCAGCGCGCGGAGCAGAGCGTTGTCACGCGTTTTACGGGCTCGGTAGGCCGTCGATAATGCGCCTGTAAGCTTATACTTTCGTTACTCGCACTCGCAGCGTTGTCTTTAAAAGAGCTGCGACTCGCATAGGAGTGCAGGTGTCGAGAGTCGGAAACGAGGCGCCGCGTTCTCTTGGGCAACTTCACGCTCGGGTAGGCTCGTTCTCTGAGAACCCGTAACATGCAGCGTACCCCGACTTCCCCTCTTTATGCATATGTATGCGCGCCGTTTACGCGGCTCGAAGCAGGTGCCTAGTTTTGCCGGACAAGTATTTCCCGCAATGCAGCCTCGCGGCGCGGCCTGCACGAACTCGCTTCTCAAACACGCACGCCTTCGTACAATCCGCATTTGAGCTGCCGGCAATTGACATGTCGCCATCGTAAGCTCGATAAATCACACATACTTTCACCATAAACACGCGAGTAATCGCTTTGCAAGTCATAAGTATATCTCGCGCCGGAATCTCAACGCGCGGATATTAATGCGCCCGTACGGCTGCCAGGCCGCCGGTGTGCGTGCCTGTGTCCACTGCACTTACCCCCGTGGGATTGCTGCGCTGCCAAAATCCTGCGACGTCGCGGGATCTCGATTAGTATAGTAGAGCCCAGCACCGCAACACGCGCCAGATAACGTCATGGCTCCATCATTATTATAGTCGTGCGGACTTTACGATTCCCACTCAAGCCAGCTGTATGATCGATCCGAGCTACCGTACATCTACACACCAACCTAATTGCCCTCGTATCCATTATTTCTTCATTATTATATCTTGAGCAGTCAAATTCTTGCTATTGCCGACTCTGCTTGAAATACTTTTGTATTCAGCTTTCATGCTTTAAGATTTATTTTATTATTAAATATTCTGCCTCGACTCCAACGCAGCCTCCTGTAAGACTGAGCTTACAACTCACCTGATTTGTTTCTGTTTTATTCCAGGATCTAATATTATTATGTATTATAATATTTTATTCATGATATCTAATCACAGATAAATAATAGCTTTACAATTTGCTGTATGCACATTGTTTTGCGTACACGATCATAAATAAAAATCAATATACGCAGCATATATACAAATGTGTAGGTGTATGTATTTTTTTATTGGGTTCTGAAAAATCATCCTCATAAATGAGATATGAGAATCGTGCTACGAAAATACAATTTCTTATTGAAATTCAAACAATGACTAGATAAGATTGTTATATATGCAAACCTAATCACGTTTTTACAATATTACGTTCACGTATACTGGGCTGCAGAACGCATAGCAACTCCGCGTTACTACTTTTTTTTCTCTTTGTATATTCAACCCTCGAAAATAAACAGTCAATACGAATCAAGATTCATTCTTTTTTCTCCAGAAGAAAAAAAAGAACAAAAAAAAGAAAGTCTTATAATGGACGACAAATAAATAAAGAACCCGAACCCAATCTTCATCCTATTCTAATTTATTTGTGCTAGGTACACCAAGTAAAAATCCATTAGTGTCGTATAGTTTATAACTTGAATGGAAACGTTTTTCGAGTAAATTATATTAAATATCACAAAAACAAAACGTTTCATACATTCCGCGATGGGAAAAGAGTTTTTAACCGTTATCTTATAAAACATTTTTTTGCGCGTCTTCAATAAAAAGTAGATACGTCAGAATCATTTTTAGCTATCGATCCGGCGGAGATATTTAGAGCGTGACAGACTGTATTTCTCCATTATTGAAGTTTCAATATTGAATTGTACGCAGATAGAACTTTTTAAAAGACATTTAGAAATTTATTCTCAATATCTAGAAACTAATTGTTCCAGCATATTTAACTTATATTTCAAATGAACGAAAAAAATTATTTTTTTGTTAGATTCAATGTTGTTGTAAGTAATTAATTTTAATTATTCAAAAAATCTCCTATCCCATATTCCTGTCAAAGCAATCGTTTGCACTTTTTTCATCTCTCCTAAATGTATATGGACGATATTTTAAAGCATTTCTCTAATTTAGTGTTATATTTATGTTGTCGCAGAAAGCCTTTACAATTTCTGAACAGTCTTCATAAATTTCGTTGTACAAAATGGTTGTGTGTCAACGAAGGTTGACATGTCTAATAATTTGTTGCTTAACATTTGTAGCAAAATGGATAATTCGGAGTATAGCTATGGTTATTCAAAGCAACGTCCTTAATTAAGACATGCAATTGAAACTTACGCGAATTATCCTTTATATTACATTGAATTCCTTTGCACGCATTATTGTTCATAGCAGCAATAAATGAATCTAAAAATAAATACTACAAACCGTGGAACTGTACAACCTTGTTTGTGAAAGTAATTCATTTATCATTAATTAAATAAGCCAGATGGAATTCTAAAAATCTTCAGATCGAATTGCGCCATCTGTATTTAATAACGCTATTAAATAACTATTTGTTTCTGATTTGTTTCGCTCCCAACAGTTTTGTATAATTTACCGTGTCATATATTTTTTCATATAGTCATTTTCATATTTCCTTTCGTTTATTATGTAATTATAATAATTTTCATGCTGATTTAATAAATCTTCAATTACACCCTACTAATTTGAGTTTACAAAGAAATTGCTACATTATAATGTGATAAATCTATTGTTTCGCTATAAAATTATCGTATTCTTATTTCAGCAAAGACGACACGTTTAATTACGCTGGTATTGGTCTACACTCTTGTGAAATAAAACCATAAAATTAGGTTTAGTGTGGGTTTGTTACTAAAAGGGTTTGATGGTACCGGCCTCAGATCAGCCCTGAAAAATGTTCAAATTAAAAAAATTGTTTTCAATTAGAATAAATTATCTCTTTTTGACCTATATTCGACGAATAATTTGCTCCTTTCGCGTTAAAACAAATCATTAAAATGGTTGTATTATGCATAAACTGCTTGTGACAGTATCTTCATGAAATATGGATATTTTACATGAAAATATTTTGTAATTGTGATTTATTTTGATTTCATTATTATTATTTGAGGCCGATTATTATGTGATATCTATGTGATTGCTATGTGATTATTTCGTTGATATGTAATTGCTTACGTTTTATTTTCGCTTAGAAAAAAGATTTATTTAATAAATATTTTTTAAATATTGTTTTGTTAATAAATATAATAAAATATATTTATAAGCAAGATAGCCATATGTATCGCAAAAATAAAACTTTTTTCACAGTACGTCGTAAAGGAATCACAAGATCTCTGCAATGAGTGATGTAAAATTTTATAACGCATAGAACCTGAAATAAAAAAACTTGAAATTTGCAGTTTTATTTTGCGAGCTTGAACTTTTATGCGCTAGTGCACCTGTTTATTTACTGAAATAGAAAATATTTAGGTGCCATAATTTATATTATGACTAATTGATAGATAGGCAAAAATCCACAAAACTTAACTTTCAACTTGACGTCATAAATGATTTAATGATAATAAAACCAAAATCGTTCTCCGTAGTATTTTTTTCAGTTTCTATAGATAAATACTAATCTTTTCATTCAATTAGATGTTACAAAATAAACGTAATAAACTTATTAAAAAATCTGAAAAATTGAAAAAACTTATTTATCTAGTAACAAATAGACCAAATTTTATTCAATTTAATACCGAAAGGAACACTATGTATATTCTAATACGTGTGCTATCAATAACACTTGTATGTAAAGCGAGTCTTTAAACAAGGTGTTTTCTAATTATAAACACCGGCAGTAATTTATTTTTGTGACAGCACACGAGAAATTTCCTACTTTTTTATGTTGTATCAGACGTAAAATTAACTATTTGATCAGTGTGATTGAATGAAACAAGACAGGTTCAAATACCACGGCAGTCGTATGCCGTGTTTCGGCATATCGTATTTAGAATATTGAAAATGTATTATAAGTATTTTAGCATTTTTTGTGTACTCTGGTTTATATTTTTAATTAAAAAATACAAGAACTGTAATAATTTGATTTAGATAAATAGAACTTGAACATTTCGAATAAGCTGATACATTATTTACAATAATTTTGTGACTTCAAAATAATCATAATTCCATATATATATATATACGATATTTATAGACTTGTGTGTAAAAAATAAACATATTTATTAAAATTATAACTTAGAAATAAACAATATAGCGTGCATTTTTATTTTTTATTACAAGCATTCTTTTCTTTGGTGGTATTGGATATACGTATATAAACAAATATATAAGTAACACGAGGACGTGCTGTATTTTAAAACTGTAAGCCCTTATCGTCATGTCAAGTGGCTTGCGTATACCCACGTTCAGTTTTGTTTACATCGTGTTCGCAGAGGTCATTCCGCTGGACGATATATACACGCAAATAATACCATATAAAGTTCGAAGTAAAATTAGTGTCATATTCCATATATACCATTAAAACTAATTTTTTTTTCAAAACGTAAATGGAAGCAGGACTATAGAGCGCCGCCATATTGATAGGCCAATAGTGTTCGAGTGAGCGCCGCCATTTTTAAACGAGAGGAATGATCGAGATAGCTTATTTCGAGTTTCAACATTGATCGATGTTTTCGAATAGGAGTTTGATGATGAACGACAGTTCAGTTTTCAGTTAAAATAAATTCACAGTTCGTAGTTCAGTTAAAAATGTTTGAGAGCAACATACAGCTAACAAAAGAGGATTTTACATCTAATGAAGTCATTGAAGAATTCGAGATTGGAGACAACACAGTGTACGTAATACGCAATTTTTTTCTATTATTATTAATTATACTAATTAATGTGCTTTGAAAATTAATTTTTATCGTGTTGTATCACAGCGATATCGTTGGCTATGTTAAATTAATTAACACCAATGTACATTCGAGTAAAGCATATTTTATTTGTAAGTATAGTAAAAATAAAAGTTATTATAAAGCTATTACGGATATACATTATTTATTTGAAAACGAAGGTAAGAGTCTCGATGACTTTCCACAAATACAAATTTAATGCAAAATTTTAGTGACTATTAATTGATAGGGTATACGAAAATACAGAAAACTATTTAACTATAGGTCATGAAAGATATGCAGAATTGAATGAAAAGCAAAAAGAAATAGTTGATAATATTTTGAATATTGTATTAAATGAAAATAACGACCAAATGAATAATTTTTATAAATGTTGCTTTATAGATGGTCCTGGCGGACCAGGTAAAGCATTCTTATACGAAACACTTTGGTATCTTTTGAAAGGAAATGATAAAAAAGTATGTACTATGGCTTTTACTGAGATAGCTGCTACACTGTTACCTCAAGGAAAAACACTACATCAAATATATAAATTACCAGTACCATTATTTTCAGATTCATCATCAAATATAAAGTTAGAATCACGTGAAGCTACATATTTAAAAGAAATAGATGTATTTATATGGGACGAAGCTCCTATGGCTCCAAGATATGCAATGGATGTAATGGATCGAATTTTACGTGATATTATGGATGTTGATTATTTATTTGGTGGAAAAATAATTATTTTAAGAGAAGATTGTAGACAGCTACTTCATGTCAAAGTAAACAGTACACGCAGTGAAGTAGTTGATTTGTCTATCAATCGTTTTTCACATTGGCAAAATATTGTTAAATATTCATTAACTCAAAATATGCGAGTTTTACCTCAAGAAATAGAATTCACAAAATTTTTATTAAATGTCGGTGATGGAATATTGAACGACATTCATGATAATTTGAGTTTAGATAATATTCCTAAAAAATGTATTACAATAACTAACGAAGTAGAAGATATAGTTGCTGATATTTATGGTCATATATTTCATTGTAGACAATATAGACAAGCAATTAATTATGCAATATTATCTGCACGAAATGTGGACGTTAATGAAATTAATGAAACAGTTGTAAATTTGTTAGATGAAACGACAGAAAAAAATTATACAAGTATTGATAGTACTGAAAACTGTGACAATGAAGGATTTAATAATATTTTATTACCAGAATATTTAAATATTTTGAATCCCTCATCTCTTCCTCCGTATGAATTGAGACTAAGAATAAATTCCATTATTATGATTATTCGAAATCTTAGTATTAGTGAAGGTTTATGTAATGGTACACGATTAATGGTTTTAGAACTTGCTAATAATATACTAAAATGTGAAATATTAACGGGTGATAAAAAAGGTGACATAGTATTTATTAATCGTATAACTTTATATTCATCAGAAACTGATTATCCGTTTATTTTTATAAGACGTCAATTTCCTATTAAATTAGCATTTGCAATGACAATTAATAAAGCTCAGGGACAAACTTTTAAAAAAATTAGAATAGATTTAAGAAATGATGTTTTTAGTCATGGACATTTAAATACGTTGCTTTACCTCGTGTACGGTTATGAGATTCTTTAAAGTTATATATTAATTGTTCTAATAAAAATAGCAAAAAAAATTATGTATTTAAAGAGTTGTATTTATAATTTTTTTCATTTATATTAAAATGTTAATGATATAAAACTTGTTATCAATTTTATTATATAATATATATTACGTTATATATTGGTACATATCTCGTAAAATAAAAAACAATCACTGTTGAGAAATATGTTTTAAATATATTATGAATCATATGTTATAGGTTAATTATAACGTCAATTGGCTAAGTCTACCAAGTCTACGCGCACGGTACGCGCGCTTAGTAAACTTCTAGTAAAACTATAACGCGTAACTGAAAATATTTTAATGTAATTAAAACATTATTCTACTATGAGAAGGAGAGCAATAAATTTAATTGATACAATTTTATATTAGCAATTCAAGTGCCATTTAATTTTTGTGGCGTGATCTATTAAGGTAAGTACACCAGTACGAATCGTAGCACAGGAGTTTCATCTTTGACATTTTCATTGACATCTTTCCAATTAACATCTTTCCATTTGTACCATTTATGAAAAACAGTTTTATATTTGTTGATCTTTCTTTGCTCTATAATTTCTCAATTATTTTTTTGCTCTATAATTATGCAATATTTGTCGATCTGTTTAAATAAACTAATTCACATTTAATAGTAAAAAAATAACGAAAAAGAATATTTTCACGTCACTATTCTTAAAATATCAAATCTGCTATTATACTGGCTTATCGAAAGAAAAAGAGCTTTGGCAGGCAAATTTGCTGTATCACAACAAATAACTCCACGAATACCGATAAAATTTGCTAAATCCCGAATGAATACTTTGATATCTTGAAAGACCTTTTCCAATGGCTCTATCATTTGCATTAAAAATAAATTTGCGTTTGGTTTATATGGGCCGAACCACAAACCAATAATTAACAGTATATTTTGTATGCGACATCTTATTGTGTACGATAACTCTAAAATATTTAAAAAAAACCCCAGATGCAATACTTTGATAAGTTTAAAACTTTTACTCTATCAGTATCAGTATACCATAAAAAAGAGATATTGTTTTTATTTGACAAGATTTCATTTGGTTGAGTAAGCTTTTTATAAATTTCACCATCGTAAATATCATGGTAATCTCTTTTATTTATACAACCCGAATTATTGTTAAGACTGTCATAAAAACCCTGGTCTTGATACAGATTTTCTATACGTGGAATTATAGGAATTCCCAAGAAATAATTTTTTTCAGCTGACTCGTTACAATCACAATATGAGTTTATATTGATTCTCTCCTCAGTTTCGATCAACTCATCTGTATCCATATTATTATTAGTGTTTTTCAAAGTAGCTTAACATTTTGGTCAGTAGCAATGCTTATTGAAATGTGTTTATTGATCAGAGAAATATTTTTCAAATTCATGGTAGGTAGTTTATTCTTTATTGAAACGCAAAAATTGATCATGATATCTTTAATATCTGTTTTATAAATTCGATGACCAATACTTTTCTGTTCAAGTATTAATTTAGTTAGTTGTACGCAATATTTTGGTTTTTGGAAAGAATCTGTCATTTATTATTAAAATTATTAGAGGAAATGCGAACATGCGATCTTAACTTCCAATTTTATCAATGTACTAAAATATTTTTATGTCTGTGCAATTTAAGCTATAGGAAAGTTGCAGAAAAAGTTGCAGCTATATTTTACGTGCCAGTAAATCCACAGAAATATTGCGAAAAATTTCAGATATAATTTTTAAATTATATCTGAAATATTTCAAGAAAACTGCGGCAACTTTTTTCGCAATATTTCTGTGGATTTACTGGCACGTAAATATTAATAAATATCTGTACGTATTGTACATCTTACTTATCTTATTAATTTATTAATTAATTTTCTAATTATTAAATAAAACTATTAATATTCCAAAAAATATCGTTAGAAATAATAACAGAAATATTTCAAAATATATTACAAAAATATCTTAAGAAACCTTTCTAAGATATTTAATAAAATATTTCAGTGAAGTGTTTCTTAAAATATTTGGAAAATATTTTTGGAAATTTTATGCAAAAAAGTTACTGCAATTTGTCTGAAACATTAAACGGCAATATCGCATGAATCACTTCTTCTATGTTTCGTCGATGTTTTGCAGAATGTTTCTGTAAGCATTGTCAAAGTATTTCTCTGAAATATGTTGAGCAATGTTTCTGTAAAGTTTAATCGAAATATTTCTGAAATATTCTCACGTTTTTTTCTAAAAATTATTTCAATAACATTTCGGGAAACGATTGTGGGAATATTACGATAATATTTTTGGAATATTTTTATACAATACTGCGGAAAAACATTTCTGATAGTTTACGCTATACAAAACATTTTTATCCACATTCCAAAAATCTTTTACAAAATAATTCTTACCATGTATCTGAAAGGTTCATGCAAAGTTTTCATATAATTTTTCAAAACGTGACATTAAATATTTGAGTGAAACATTTTTGCATTACGGTAGGTATATTATATGAAACATGTTGATGGAACCTTCATAATTTATTTCACAAACATTTCTACAATATTTTTGCAAGGTTTTTCTGAAGTATTGCAGCGAATTTTTCAATGCAATAATTGATGCTATGTGGGATTGATCGTCATCAAATTTGAGCTCTATTTTTCAAAAATAAAATTAGCTATGAGCTTTCCTTTTCCAACTTATATATTTCCTAGTATTAATTGCATACAAAACAGTTAATTTAGGAAAATGCTTTAAGGTAGACCTTTATTGACAATTTTTTTAATGATTTCTGTAAAGGTATACAAGTTGACTTTCCTTCGGAATATTAAGTTTTTATAAACATAATTTTTTTTTTGTTAATCCAATCTCGATCAAGTCAACAATTATAATTGTACTTCGAAATGCATACTGTAAAATGATTGTAAGTAATTATTTCGTGCTTTGATACAGAGAATTATGAAAGTGACAATGGTGATGACTTCAACAACATATATACCATTTCGAGTGAACGACGCGACCGAGCAGAAAAGCCAACAACATGATTGCGATAAAAAATTATTTCTTGGATCGTGAATTACTATACAAGCATCTGTAGTGTGTTTGACTGCAATCAAGCTTCGCTACGGTTTAACCAAAATTTGCATTTATTATTTGTATTTATTTATTTATTATTTATTTTAATTTATTTATTTGTATTGCTACACAACTGTTCAACTACCTCTCATGAATTTGAAAAATATTTCGCTGATCAACAAACACATTTCAATAAGCATTACTACTGACAAAAATATTAAACTGCTTTGAAAAACACTAATAATAATATTGATATCGATGAGTTGATCGTAACTTAGGAGAGAATCAATATAAACTCATATTGTGATTGTAACGAGTTAGCTGAAAAAATTATTTCTTGGGAATTTCTATAATTCCGCAAATAGAAAATCTGTATCAAGGCCAGGGTTTTTATGGCAGTCTTAATAATTCAGGTCGTATAAATAAAAGAGCATGATATTTACGATGGTAAAATTTATAAAGAGCTTACTCAACCAAATGAAATCTTGTCGAACAAAAACAATATCTCTTTTTTATGGTACACTGATAGAGTAAAAGCTTTAATCTCATCAAAGTATTGCATCTGGGGTTTTTTTATTAATTATTTTAGAGTTACCGTACAAAATAAGATGTTGCATACAAAATATACTGTTAATTGGTTTGTGGCTCGGCCCATATAAACCAAACGCAAATTTATTTTTAATACGAATAATTGAGCCATTGAAAAAGGTCTTTCAAAGTATCAAAGTATTCATTCGGAATTTAGTAAATTTTATCGATATTCGTGGAGTTATTTGTTGTGATACGGCAAATTTGCCTGTCAAAGCTCTTTTTCTTTCGATGAGCCAGTATAATGGCAGATTTAGATATAATGTATATTTAGAGCTAAGTAAAACTGTATAAAATATTCGTGTATATTCGTATAAAAAAGAATTGCGTCTACGAACTGATGCAGAATCTATTAAAAACGCAAAACAAGTTGTAGAATCAAATATGCCTGTGTGCGGTGTGAAAAGTCCGTTAATCTTATGTAAAATCTGTAATAATTATGTCACATCTACATCTGTGGACGTAATGCATTGTACGTTTGAAGGTTTCATAAAAAAACTTCTTTAATTATGGTTTCATGGTTAAAAATTTTCATGTTACAACTTGGTCGAGGTAGTTGTGCTCAATTCTACCACCTGGTTTTGTTACCTGCTGATCAAGACCAATAAAAACCATCTTCCCTACTGGAAAGCATCCGAACTGAAAAATTAGGGTCTTTATTATTTGACATCCGTTTTGCATGGTGTAATTCCCGATAATTATTTGAATCATTTCATGTATTTTTATTTAGGTCTTATCTTATTATATCAAGAAAAAGTTACAGATGAAATGATAGATCTGGCAGATGAATGTCTTGACAAATTTCTTGAAAATTTTGAAGTTTTACAATTAAAAACTCATGATGTGCAACTTGCACCTTTTGAAACATTTACCTCTGATGGTCCGTCGATTTGGTCCGCTTTTTACCACTTCAGATTTTCCTTTGGAACATTCAAATCGCAAATTAAAAGCAATGGTCTGTGGTAACAACTCACCTCATTTGCAAATTGTTTCAAAATTAAATATTTATATGGCGGAATACACTCACAAAAAGATTGGCTTAAAGGCAATGATGCTGCAATTCAATTTTTTCAAAACTGTATTATCTCCTAGAAGAAAACTAAAAATAACAAAAATTAGGAATGATATATTTTTGGTGGGTGCTTTGTTAAAAAAGAAGCCTATGTTCGTTAAATTATAGTGGACATGAATTGGGTTGAAAAAAATATATTTATCTTTTCAAAAGCGTACAAGAATAATACTTTGTATGAATTTGAGGTCAAACAGTGTGAACAACAAACAGATTCCTCGTACGTTAAATACGAAACCAACTCACAAAAATTGGATATAATTTAAAATTTTGTTCGAATAATGAACTGTAAATGTAAAAAGGTGCGTGTAGTTGTCCCGAAAGGCACTACGCGATCGTTGAAAAGCACGAGGTTGAAAATCCGTTTTCAGTAGAGTTAAAAAGCGAAACGCTATCGTGCTAGCATAAATGTAACTATGTTTCTCGTAGCTTGAAACTTATTGACATTGAAAGATTGAAATGTGTTTGTTATCACGTCAAAATTGAATACGAAGATTGTGAATACATTGTAGAATCAGTTAACAGTCTTTAAAGTGAATAAATATTTACATATTCCATAACTTGAATCCTCAACCTGATCAGTAAGATTAACTATTACAACCTATTCATAATCAAGTTTTATATAATTTTCATTGTTATGAATTAGTTTTCAAAAGTAAATATTCTACTCAATAAATATTTTATATTTTATAGATTTTTAATAATATTATTCAAAAGTAAAAAGTGTATTTGAACCAAGCAATACTAAGGCAAAATAATAAGATTTAAGTTAGATTGCTTGTTTACAATAACAATTATTAGTCAACCATTTGTTTCCCATCCGTTAGAACTGAATATTATCTGGATTTTCGAGTGTGCTGAAATTTATTGAATTATTTTTTTTAAGTTACTCCTTCGTAAATTTTAATTAAATCGTTCGCATAATAAAACATTTTTGTTAATATTTAATGAAGCAATTGTCAATTGCAAAATGAATTGACGAACATGAAATGTTTAATCTGTATATTTTTATACGTTTGAACAAAGTTTATGAATTATTTTTAAATATATGTATTAATCTCCAACTTATTCAAAATTAATAAAATTACAAACTTGTTTTTTCAATAAATTCGATGTGTAGCTACAACGTGCTAAAGATATTAGTAACGTTTCTCATAAAGCGTAGGAACGTTCTCACGAAAAGTAAATTTTGGAACATCATCAGTACATTCCGGACACGTTCAGTTATCTATAAACCGTCAGTATTTGCAACCGAGTGCGTGCCATTTTCGTTTGTGAATCGTTGCAACGATTGGATCCAATACGTTTCAGGAACGTTTCTGCTTAGGGAACGATCATTTGCGAAATTTATTTTTTTTGAGGCATCGTTTTTATTACGTACTACAAACGTCCTAAAATTATGGTACTACTAACATAACAGGATCGTTTTCAACGCTCTTCATAAGATCGTTCCTGGAATGACATATTTGGCACGTATGCAGACATTTTTCTCTAAGCAGAAACGTTTCTGAGACGATTTCTAAGGGAATGTCCACACAGAATCCCTCTTCCTTCCTGACCCTGGGGCCGTCCCCGTCCGAGATTTTATATGCACACGCCATCTTTATAACTTCGAACTCAGTGATAAATTTCACAATGAATGCGAGCTACGTATCTTAATATATGATTTATCTATGAACTTAAAATACCGATGCGAAAACAGCCCGACACAAATAACATTTTATTACAAAAAATGATCACATCTCACGTATGCCTAATTGTACTTCTCGAAAATATAATTATTTGTTATTGTACCATTATATTTCTCATAAAAAATAAAAAATATCGTTATCGATAATTCACCTCCTATTTATTCACATAAAAGACATAATTAAGCAAAAATAAATACACAGAAAAATTGTACCTTCTATAGTTTAAATTGTACCATCAGTACAATTCTATAAATTTGATTCTAAAAGAAATAATAGGACAATTACAAAGCTTTACACCTGCGCAAAGTGCATTTCCGGATGACATCCTTGTAAGTTGTAACAATTAGTGGTAATTTGTAATTGTCCTATTATTTCTTTTAGAAACAAATTTATAGAATTGTACTGATGGTACAATTTAGACTACAGAAGGTACAATTTTTCTGTGAATTTATTTTTGCTTAATTATGTCTTTTATGTGAATAAATAGGAGGTGAAGTATCGATAACGATATTTTTTATTTTTTATGAGAAATATAATGGTACAATAACAAATAATTATATTTTCGAGAAGTACAATTAGGCATACGTGAGATGTGATCATTTTTTGTAATAAAATGTTATATGTGTCGGGCTGTTTTCGCATCGGTATTTTAAGTTCATAGATAAATCATATATTAAGATACGTAGCTCGCATTCATTATGAAATTTATCACTGAGATCGAAGTTATATAGATGGCGTGTGCATATAAAATCTCGGACGGGGACAGCCCCAGGGTCAGGAAGGAAGAGGGATCCCATGTGGACACTCCCTAAGATTCTACTCTTCGTGCCAAAAGTTTCCAAAACTTGATTCAAAATCGTTTCTGCTACGATTAAATTAATTATTACTTGTATCGTAATGTACTAAAATATGGATTCTTCTCATTCACATTTTTTTTCAACAATGGACGAAAATATAATCTATATTTTATTAGATTTTATAATGAATCTAGACATTAGTGTTTAATTCGCAAGTATAACGTTATAAAATTATTAGTTGTTAAGAATCTATTTATATAAGAAGATTTTATATCAAACTTTTTGCAACATAACGTCGCGCTACCATCTCATGGCGTTATATGGCTTTATATTTTGTCAAAAAATCTACTGTACTACTAAAATTACAGTTTGATGCAGTTGCATGCATTTAGAAAATTCATTTGGAAACTATCTCTAGGTTTTCATTCGCAAACTTGTATCCAATTTCAGATTTAAAAAATATGCAGTTCTCGAGTCGGTCACATAGAGCATTAATAGTACATTACGATACAAGTGCAGGAAAGTAGATTTTTTTCTCGTGTGGCGTTTACGCCCGAGCGAAGCGAGAAACTTTTTCCCGAACATGTGCCGTACCGTATTTTTTTATACGACGTGTAGAAAGTGCGATTTCAACGCACGTTTACTGCCGAGTGTCCGGGTAAGACGCACTTTGCGCACGTAGTATATCGAAAAAATTAAAAATAAACTTTGATTCGGATTTTTTTTAATTTTATAGCATGATATCGTAAGAAATAATTAGGAATCTTTATTTTCATTATTCATGATAAAATACTAAACTAAAACCGAAATCTAAAGCTCCGCTCGAAAAAGATATGAAAAATATATATAATATGCATGTGCTATACGTCCGGTACATGCATATGTGTGTGTGTTTTGTCAGTGTAGAGACGTACTGGAGTTTTGACTCATTGACTGTAGAGTGTGAGTGTGAATGTAAGGAACTGATTCTATGGGAGCGCCCAGCAGAGCATCGATGTGATGCCGACGTAGCTTGAAAGTCAGGCGTGTGAATTTTTCCTTTTTTGTTCGGTTTATTTTAGCATTCATGACACTTAAATATTACTAGTTATTGGTTATAGAAGCTTTTAATATTTGGATTACTTTTTATATTCAGTGTACTACAAAAACATGTAATTTTTTGAAGATTGAATCACTGAAAATTAGAAATAACGCAATACACAACGACCTAGTACGTTTACTAATATTCCATTAAAATTGTTTTATATGTCAAAATTGGAAGATTGTTTTGTGTTTATATTTTTATAAAATTATAGTGTATTTCTTTGCAGCTATTGTCGAGCAATTGTAACTGTTGAAGATTTAAGTTTGTTCTTCAACGTAACCTCAATTTTGGGATTATTTATTTCCAAAGGTAAAATACACTATTTTTTTGGTGCATACCTGTTCTTTATTTAAAATTTTGTGTGTGATAATTTCAGTTGCTAAAAATGATGGAATTTCTGAGTATAGTTTGAATTATCACACATCACACAATCTTTCATTTGTGTTTCTTTAATTAGTTAGATTTATCAATGTATGCAATAAAAATTATGCATATATTACACTAATTTCAATGTAATAAAATTTGTATTTTTAAAGTATAGAAATATTACATTTTGTATAAGAATAATCTATGACTAATTAAAAATGATTTTGTTTTGATAAGATTTTCTCTTTCTATGCGAATCAGTGACTCATTAGAACAAATGTATTAATCATTTAAAAAGTATGTGAATGATTCTATACTTCACTCAAATATTGTAGTTAAATTTTTATTAATAGATTATAAATTTAAATGCATTGAATTTTCTTTGTATCTGAAAGGAAAGTAGACATTGTTCAAACAATACATTATTACTTATTCTTAAAGAGGTAGAAATAATATATATCTAAAGTTTTAGTCTCTGAAAAATCAAATTATTCAAATTAATTTTGGATAATCAGTTTCAGAATGATTAAAATTGTATATTCTGGTATAAGTCTACAATTTTTTATTTTACAAAATTTCCATTTAGTAATTCAAAAAATTATACTTTAAAAAATTAATCGAATTAGTATTTCAGATATTTGAAACTTTTACAATGGGTTGTGCTGCAAGTACAAATACAGATAAGGCAGCAGCAGAGAGATCTAAGAAGATAGATAAAGGTCTGCGTGCTGATGGGGAAAGAATTGCAAATGAAGTGAAATTACTATTACTTGGAGCAGGAGAATCCGGTAAATCAACCATTGTAAAGCAAATGAAGATAATACATGAAACTGGTTACAGTCAAGAAGAATGTAAACAATTTAGACCAGTTGTCTATAGCAATACTATTCAGAGTTTGATGACCATCATTCGAGCAATGGGACAATTGAAAATTGATTTTGCTGATCCTAATAAATTAAATGTTTCTCGACAATTCTTTACCATTGCTTCATCAATGGAAGAAGGAGAATTGAATCCTGAATTAGCCCAACTGATGAAAAGTTTGTGGCAAGATGCTGGTGTAAGACTTTGCCTCAATCGCAGCAGAGAATATCAATTAAATGATTCAGCAGCTTATTATTTGAATGCCTTAGATCGCATAACACTGCCTAATTATATCCCTACTCAACAAGATGTATTAAAAACGAGGATTAAGACAACTGGAATTGTAGAAACACGGTTTTCTTTTAAAGGTCTGCACTTCAAAATGTTTGATGTAGGTGGTCAACGTTCAGAAAGAAAAAAATGGATTCATTGTTTTGAAGATGTGACAGCTATTGTATTTTGTGTTGCTTTAAGCGAATATGATCTAGTTCTGGCTGAAGATGAAGAAATGAATCGTATGGTAGAGTCTATGAAATTATTTGATTCTATTTGTAACAGTAAATGGTTTGTCGATACATCAATCATACTATTTCTCAACAAGAAAGATCTATTCCAGGAAAAAATAAAGAAAAGTCCACTAACCATTTGTTTTCCAGAATATACAGGTCCTAATACTTTTGAAGCATGTGCTTCTTATATTCAAATGAAGTTTGAAAATCTCAATAAGCTTAAAGAACAAAAACAAATGTATTCACATCTAACTTGTGCAACTGATACTGATAACATTAAATTTGTTTTTGATGCTGTTACAGATGTTATAATTCAAAATAATCTTAGTAGCTGTGGCTTATTGAGTTAAATATTTCAACTAATACTATTTCACATGTAACAGAATACGTGCAATTTAAAAGAATGTCTCTTAAAGCATCAAATCATTTATTCAATTTACAATAATTAATGATAACAATATTTTATAATCACGTTTTTGATTTTGTGAAACGTTTTACTATGAATATTTGTTAATGAGTTTAAGCAATAACACATTGAAAAGTTCATTTTAATTTTTTAAATATTTATATACCATTTATTGGTTATTGATATGACATTTACAGATGTAGAACTTAAAACAGGAAAAGATGCAAGTTTTATAACAGTTTAACAAGTTTAACAGTTTCAAGTATTAACATTTATACTAGAACTAAACTAGTAAAAAATGTTCACAAACTTCCAAAAATTCGCATTTATACGCAATGCATGCCAAAAATTTTTAGAAGAGTGCCTTTGATAGTTCATTAAATTTATATTAATAATTAAACAAATGATAATTTAAAAATCAGTTTTTAATCACAAGTATTGTAAGCGCACATGACGGACCAAGTTGCTTTATACAACTAATTTTTTATCAAAAATCTAATGCAGTTAGGTAATAGTTTAATTAATTTTTTTTAATGCTTTATAAGACTTATAATATTATATAATATTAACTCTTTAACTGCCTTTAAATAAAATTCTTTCATTGATTATTCACTTTAATCAGAATAATCAGTCATTACAAATTTTATTTAAAGATTGAAATTAATATTAGTGTAATTTTTATAATTTACTTGCCATGAATTTTATAATCTAATGTATGTACGATAGGTGCAACTAGTTTTTAAAATCTATTTGAAAATCTATATCTTGTAAATAATGTAAACATTGGACAAAAAAATTTGTAACATTGAATTTTCGCAATCTGAAATTTACGAAACTTTATATTGATCAAAATGTATTTTCTACCTTAATGTATTATTTACTCCTATTAATAAAAGTAAAAACTAATTTTTTTTCCATATCTCACATGTGAATATTATTTTTTCTAATTTTAAATTTGTATGTTTACATTGACCATCTCAAAAATTTATATGATAATATAAATTAAAAAAATATTTATTTAAATCAAATTACATAATTTCATTGTATAGTGGATAATAATTTTTGTCAAAAGAAATAAATTTATGCCTGCCAAATAGTTGCTTATATTTCTTTCTTGTGTATTTTGATATAATAATTAACAAATTTTTAGCTTAGGATGTATATACGTATATACTAAACTTCTAATTGTTCTTTTCAATGACGGAAGCTATAAATTGAAAGATTAAAAATTTGAAAGTACTACAGGGGAAATGCTATGCTAAGTAAGTATAATACGTGTATGTAAGAAATATTTTATTAAATATTTATTAAATTTATTAAATTTTTTATTTTATTACTTATTAACAATTAATATGGAGTCAATTTTTTAAAAAATTATTTTAGATGTCGAAATATGTATACATGTTATATAAAGATATTGATAAAAACTTGAAAAGATAATAACAATACACTATGGCTTAAACTTAACCAATGATACATTTTTTGATGACATACACCTATCGCAAGCCCATTCAGCACAAACTTCACTCATTATTAACTCAAAAGCCACTTCAGTCAGTCCTGTACATCGTCTATGAAACCAAAAATTGCACCCTGATTCACAAAGAATAGCTTGGTCATTGGCATGTACTTCTTTATGGCAAACTCCACATGGCGAAATTGGTGGTGCATTGGGATTTTGATGATTGAACACCATTGGTTGATCTGGTGGATATACTTTACCAGTTGATTCTGGTATTGGTTTAGGTCCAAGGGATGGAGCTTGAAGGCGATGTTGAGGCAGTGCATTGCTGATGTTCATATCATGACTAGGAGATTTCCCACTTAAATTGTTAGGTACATTACCCATGGGGTTCCCTAAATGTCCCATTTGATTACGTTGATTCATATTAATATTTTGCATGTTATTGATCTGAGATCTGATCATGCTTATATTATTCAATTGATTGTTACCCAACATAGGATTAGGCACTGTTGGAGTGATTGCTGTCATAGGCATATTGTGTGGTCTGTTCATCCGTATATTGTTCAAATGATTTGGATGAGGCTGAGGTGCATTATGCGGAAGACCAGCATTTGCTGGATTGATTCCTGAAACGCTCATCGTACTACTAGCCATATGATTTGGACTCATATTATTTATAGGTGAGCCTATTGGGCCTCCCATTGGGCTACCTAAATTGTGATTCATTCCATTCATTGGACTATTCAGTGTTGGACCACTTATAGGTGAATTCATCATATGATTCATGCTCATATGATTATTCATAGGAGGCATGTTACCTTGTGGCATGTTTGAACGCATATTATTCATTGGATTCATACTATTAACAGGTGGCAGATTTGCATTAGGTATGTTGCCTATGTGACCCATATGATTGCCCATTCCAGGGTTATTCATCGAATTTACTCCACCCATGTGAGGCATCATAGGATTCATATTGCCACTTGACATAGGATTCATACCTCGTAATTGTGGATTTCCCATATGATGAGGATGATGAGGAAGCATTTGTTGTGGACCATTGTGCATACCAGTATTTAGACCAGCCGAAGGAGTATCGTCGAATGGATTACTAGCCACAACTGTATCACCAAAGCCTGATAATGGTGGGGGCACAAAATCTTGTATTGTCGGAGCACGTTGTGCTACTGATTGAGTATTATTTGCATTGGTACGTCTCTTCTTTTTTGGATTTACAGTGCTTGTTGTTGAAGGAGGAGGTGATGAACCAACGCCGATTCCAATACCTACACCCATACCTATACCTATTCCACCTAATTCCATTTTCCTTGAGCCTTTGTACTACATGTAACAGAAAAGAATATTTGTATTTTTAAAAATAATTTATTACTTAACTCGTTTTACTAAACTACCATAAATATCATTCTTTTATATCATACACTCGTATTTTTGAATAAATTATTTATAATCTATCTAAGAATTTAATTTTTGATATAAATACACGTTTTCACTACACATATAAACAATCACCAATTATCTAATACGAGTATCTAAGGTTAATAATGTACTTACATTAATTTCAAAAACTGCAATAACGAAAAAATGATTTATATGTCAAAAGAAATAAATCCATGACCGCCAAGCAGTTGCTTATTTTTCTCTCTCGTGTATTTTTAGTGAGCCTTCAAAGGAAAGCACGGTACAAGATAGACACGGCATAAGCAACGAAGATAGCGTCTATTGGCGTCCGCCATCGCTTACAGTCTCTTATGCTTGTCGTTACTGTCTTCGTCTTCGACACCGTGGTGTTCAAGAAGATTAGAGGAAAGATTGCCAAAAACTCCAAAGAGGGGGCTGAATCAAGTATGGAGACTGCGTATATTATGAACAAAAACGATCTGTATACGATAACTCGTTTCTACAGTCTCCATATGGTAACGTATGTACGTATCGTTGCTGGACAACCCGCCGGTAACTTAAATTTGCGAATGATCGCCGCAAGAAGCGCCACCGATGCTGAGCTGCAAGCTGCTGCACAATAAGTGGTGAAATATCCGTTCTTGTAGAGGGAGAGGTGAACGCTGAAGTGTCTGTTATTGCAGTACTATTTTTAGTCCGGAAGACAGGGGGGGGGCTGTCGTAGCCAATGAACGTCCATCGAATTTTACGAATATTTTATATGTATTTTGACCTCTGAATTGTGGCGCATCCGAGTCCTCAGGTACCCACAGCCATTAAAACGAAACGAAACGTATTTTGACCTTCTGGTTCCGAATTTCGAAAGTAGCCAATAGAAAATCCAGTCAGCGATTTATTATTAACAATGTATTTGTCTTAACATTTATAAGTTATAGCTTCGGTAAGCGAAGGGAATGATTCCTTGATTTACAATACAAAAATAGTTAACTAACTACAAGGAATAAACTGAATTCTGCAAATAGCTAATATTAATTAGTTCCGAAGATATTGCTAATTAATTAATAAAGAAAACGTGACGACGGTCAATGCAAACAGTTATAACTTTTATTCAAATTAACTTATAGAAATCGTTGTCCAATCAAATGATTCATTATATTTTATGAAAAAATCCATCGCTTTTTGGAATTTGGAAAAATTTCGATTGTAAAAATCAAACATATCGCTAACCTCCTTGTTCTCCCTGTTTTTCTTGGGCCGTTATTCGACGACGTACTTCTCGCGAGAGAAAATACAGCAAAAAATGTAGCCAGCTGCTCACAGCTTCCACGTCGCCTTGCAGAGCCTTGAAGTCCTTGTGAAAGGTAAAAAAGCTCTCGTTTTCTTCAAGGTTTTTCCACTAGCGTCACCCCACACTTAGCACCAAAATATGTCGTATCGTGAGACTCTTAGTGACGCGACCGGAGGAATCAGGGAAAAGGTTGAGGTAAAATCACTATAAACTCATAGCGGATATGGTAGACACTTTAATGTAAGCTTCTCGCTTGTAGTTCGAAACTAGACTGACTCGTCTAAGGGAACGCAGCCCTTATATACCCGTTTGAGGGTGCCTATGAGGAGTAAGCGACGCAGACGCTTTCTACAATTAGAGGTGATGCTTTCACTTTCTAAAAATGAATTATAGGCCCTTGGAATATAAATCAGGATTAGAAAATGGAATTAGGAGTAAAATGTGAAATTAGGATCAGAAATGAAATTAGGGGTAGAAAGTAAAATTAGGATAGGAACTTGGGTAGTTCCTATTAGTGACGCATCGCCATTAGGATTCCTCATCAGCGGGGCTTTTGACACCTCCCCCATCAGAAAAGTTTGCGACTCTCTGGGTGGTAAACTTGCTGAATCGTTGGCGTCAACTGTTAAGGGGAGTAGTAGACCGTGTTGGGGTAGACCGGAGCGCTTGGTTGTATTATCGGTGAAATATAATTTATAAAGACATCAGTGCATGGCCAACAAAGCCATTTACAAAAATTTACAATTCGATCGAAGATTTGCAAATGATCTGAGTTAATGTCTGGACGAAGAAGCCAAATGACTGCGAGACCGTAATTAAGGAAGCATTCAAGACAGTAAAATCAGGTAAAGACCGGGTAGCCCACATAGTATAATTAGCAGAGAACAGAGGAGTCAAAAGGTTCATCATGATTTCCGCAGGTATTCTTGGTTAGACGCGCCGTGCCATATCTCCTCAACCTAATGGCCGCAAGGCGACAGTTACTTTGTATAGCCCTAGACGTCTTTTCGTTTGATTTATTTCACTTTTCTCCAACCATTCGAATAAAATTATATTTTTTTTTCTATGTTAATTGTATCATAGGCATGTGATTTTTCGAAATGGCAAATTATTATTATAAAATAAAATTTGAAAATTCTTGTAGAATCAAAGTTTTTTTCAAAAATTATTAACCTTTATTTCAAAGAATTTAAAAAAGAAAAAAATAAATAATTGTGAAAAATTTTAAAATCAAAGATTGGTGAAAAGGAGAGTGGCTTATCAGCTCAAAACACCCCTTCTGCATGTAAATCAGTACTCTTTTAAACATCCGAACTTTGTAACAAAATCCATATTGAGATAATAAATTTGATCTTGGAAAAAGGCTTCGGAGATGAATTCTATATTTTATTTTTGTGGAAATATACGGAATGTACTAGAATTAACTAGAGCATATCAGTAATATTAAAGGGTAATAAAAACTCTTTCAGTTCATCATATGAGTGCATTTGTAATGTGCATGCGCATGAGAAAAATTAAGGCTTCGAAGTTGAAAAGGACTTTTTCCTCGCTATACATAATTTTTTATTTATACGTAAAAAATATATGTGAAGCGTCAAAAACCATTAAACATATATAGATTCCAATCGATAGTTTTCGACCTGAACTTTTCATGATTTCATCAAAATTGGAGTTAGTATTGACTGTAGTTGATTTTTCCTGCTTAATTTTTTTCCAAATCAGAAGACACTTGACTCCAACCTGAGCATCAGACTTCTGGAGTGAGAGAGACAGCCAGGCGCATCCGGCGTATTGTGTATGGTGGTTAAGTCTAGGTGCCTCTCGAGATCACTGGTGAAGAGTAAAAGTTGATCACCCTCTCCGACTGCTTCTTGAAGATCCACAAAATGAATGGTCGTCCAAACTTCATGGTAAAGTCTTGCCTTGAACAACTCCTCTCTCAATATGGGCGTGTCCACGGGGATGAGCGTATAGGGCTCGTCAAGGCCCCATGCGAAGCTGACCCTTAAGAGTAGGAGTACCACCAGCATTGAATGAAACAAAATATTATTCCACAAAAGGCTTTGTGTCGTTAATGTGCCTTTTATGTTCGATATTCTTGACCTTATATGTTAGCGTGTGTGTGTCGGCATTTAGTTGTATAATTATACGTATAAGGTCCTGCCCATAGATTGGACACGGGTGTCGTCTTTAAACTTCTCACTAGGATTTTATCTCCGATGTTATACAGCGGCGTTGGCCCCTTTTTTCTTCTCGATACTTCTTGTCATATTGCGCTTTACTCTTGAGCAAGTTTGCCCTTATTTCTTTGAGTTTATCGAGATGATTACGTTGAAACTCGTCCACGTATCTGGTTGCGTCTTGGGGCTTTAGTTGAAGAGTAGGAAGATGTGTTTCCAAATGCGTCTTTCTAAAATACATGGCCTCCATTGGCGCATATCCAGTTCCTCTATTCGGCAGGTTGTTGAATATAAACTGGATTTTCTTTAAATGCCGATCCCAGGTGTAGACGTGGTCTTCAACTAATATCTTGATTTGATCCTTTATTGTTGCGTGGGCCCTCTCTAACGACCTATTCGACTGGGGGTGACCAGCAACTATGACTAGGTTTTATCTTGAGGTGCTTTTTAAAGACTTTCATCACTTCTGACTGCAAACCCTGAGCGTTAACCATTATTATTTCCTGTGGGGCTCCATATAAATAGACGTAATGGTTAAGCAGGGCGTTGGCAGTTTCCTGGCCAGAGACTGTCTTTACCGGTATTAGCATCAAAAATTTGGTAAGCTGGTCTTGGATTATGAGTATTGTACATCGGTTGCCATTTATTGAAGCTGGTAGAGGCTCGACGTGATCGATCGCAATCCTTTCTCCTAAACATCTTGGTGGTTGTATTTTTTACATTTAAAGTTGAAACCTTTAGAGAAAAATCCATCGGAAAAAGTAGTAGATAAATGAATTACTTTTAAAATGAGATGTTGCCCTGCTGGAAAAATATCCAAGACTTTTCTCCGAGAATTTTACGAAAAACTATCGAATATTCCATGATTTTTTTTAAATTCCTATGAATAATTATAAATGTATATGGTTTTTTTCAAAAATTGATGAATGGTTAATAAACTATTTAAATACAATAAACTATGTAAATCAATGAAAAAGTGTCCGATTTAAGACATTTATGTATTTTTCCATAGTTTATCAATGACAATCCTTGAACATTAATATAAATTATTAGTTTTTAAGATTTATTACAAATTTAAATAAAAAATGTTCGGAAACTTATTGCATATTGATAATTTATAGATATTTTACAAGTTTTATACTTTCATTTTTTATAAAAATAATAAAAATCATAATAATTCATACTTCGTAGTAAATTGGAATTCCAAGCTATGCTAAAAATTGATTGATTGATTGATTTGTAGACTAACATTAATAAAACAGTTGATTTTCCTCGAGATTTTCATTAATAATCGTATTCAGTTTTTTCGTTGCAAAAAGTAATAAAATTTTATGTTTTTATAGTTAAAAGGCCTGACCAAATATAGAAATTCTATTATTTTATAATAAATAAATAATAATATTTATTTAATAAAACCTTTTGTTTATGTAAATACATAATATTTAGTTTGTTTAACAAGTGGTATGAATGTTATAAGTACGTATACTTAGTTATTACTCTATTTTAATATTAATTTTCATGCAAATAAATATTTTTGCAATCGCGATGACGAATGAATTTGTGGATGATTTCTAAAATGCAACAACATTTTATCGCAATAATATTTATATACATTATAAATATAAAAATTTTTTTTTGAGTTGTAGAATATTTCAAGAGAAAATGAAAATCAATGAAACAACTCGATAATTAAACAGAAGAATATCAATCTCCCAAGCATCCTCGAGGAATATGTACTGTATGTAATTTTTGCAATTTATAGACGCAAACATACACGTCCTTTTTATATCAATAGATGTACAGTATCTCAATTGTGTTTTCAAAAACGATGGATCACTACATCTTTTGTTGTGATCAATTGTTATATCATCATTCTGCATGAAATTTGAATAAATTTTTATTTTTCTGTACAGAATTAATATAATTTTTTCATTTCCCTCGTTGATACTTAGAATTTTATCGATATATCCAAAACATCCATTCTTATTTTCAAAATAACAATCACTAGTTTTTGTGCATTTCGAGTATTTAGATGATATGTATCTTATATTTTTATGGATCATTTTATTAAAAATTGAAAACCTATGCCTTTTTACATTTTTTAAATATTTCTTTTCTTCGTCATTCAATTTACCGCTCTTTTCTGAGCCAATCAGCGTACATTTATCTATTGTTTCGCTAAATTTTAATCTATTACAGCCAATTTTTTAACTGAATTCTAATGTTTCTGGATGCGCTGGATATTTTGAAACGACGTTTTCAACAAATTGTTGAAACAAAAATTTGTTTAAAAGTTTGTTTACAAGTAAACTTTCTCTTTTTGTCCGCTCGAATCGGCTGTCCGCTGCCGCTCTGTCCGCTTTCCGCTCCCATATAAGAGCACTCTTTCACAGTTTCGTGGTCGGTCAGTGAAATAAGTGGCACGTCGTGATATGTCCTTTTCATTTCCCCTTCGGACGCTATTTAAATGTACTGAGTTCGATGTTTTGCACTCTACGGCAAAATTAATTACTGCGTGTCGTGTGTCTTCCTGGCCGCTTACTGAAAAAAGCATTTTTAGACATATTTTTCTGCAAAATAATAATTGGTCTGGAGAGGCTTCTATTTTCACCTGCCTGGATCTCCCATTACCTACTTCGTTAATCTCTCTGTTTACTGAAGACTGTTAAAGTGTTAAAGTCTATTATTGAAAGAGAGAGAGAGAAAAGAATACTAACAGCGGTAGTGGAACGTTTGATGACCTTGTTGGACTATTTCTTTTCGCAAGTGAGGTCAAGTGTTTATTTAATCGGTGAAAATTAGTTTACCTCTCTAAAAGTTGAGTTGGATGGTTTGACATATAGATATTCATAGTATAGGTATTTATCGATTTGAACGTAACCTCAGCATCGTATTTTTATTTGAATTTATTATTTGTTTTCGGTATAGTCCCATAATGGGTCCACTAAAACGATAAAACTAAATGGGCGGCATCTGGTTAACGCAGGAAGTAGAACACATCTAATTAGTGCTTTTAAAAGACTAAAAAAGAAAAAGAATTGAGTGACGTAGTTTTTTTTTGTTTAAATATATCAGTCTAGCTTAAATAACGTATCGTCGCTAAAAAGAATTTTGAATTAAATAAAAGAATTTTAAGAACCATTTGATAAAAAATATTGATTGTTCTCTCTAGTATCTTCTCAGCTTATTTGGATTGATTCAAATTACTTGTAATTTTGTAATTTGAATAAGTCTTCGATACATTTTAGGACTGATCAAGACGTTTAAACGTTAGAAAATTTTTTTATCATTTACTCGATGATATATGTATACGTGGTATTTATTTGCTTACGATAAAATGGGTAGAACATTTTTTGAGCTACTTATTAGTAGTATATTCAAGCGGGTTGTGTCGAAAGTTCTCTCACAATTTTTTTGACGCTGGAAAATAAAAAAGCTGACTTCGGTTTTGACTGAATCGAAAACGAAATGTTATTCAAAATTAATTAAGTGTAAGTAGTTGAAAAAAAACAAGGCTAGAGAAAGCAGCAAAATATGTCATGAAAGCTTATTACTGTCTTTATTCATGGAATACGTTTAAGGTAAGGTGTGGCTGCAATGATATTGAACTTGGGTAGCTACAATGATAAAGAAACAAAGTATTTTATTCTGGATTTCGTGAATTTTCCAAGCGAAAAACATAAGAAATCTGAGATTTTTCCGGTGAAAAGTGTACTTAATCCAACCCTGTATGTTCCTATTTTCAGGAGGGAAGCCTATTTAATTTTTAATGTTAATTAAAAATCAATTAAAATAATGATTTGCACGTCAATATGAGAAAATGTAAATTTGTTCAAGAACGCATAGATTTTTTGAGTCATATCATCGAATATAACAAGATTTTTAAATCTTCAAAAAAGATTAGAGCTATCACACACGTGTCTTGACTTACATCAATTGATGGAGTGAGAACAATTGTAGGTATGGCAACTTACTATGCAAGTTTTATTCCTATTTTTTCGATATTAACAACTCTACTACGCCAACTCTTGAAAATACACACATGATTCAAATGGACAAAGCATTGTGAAAAATATTTTCAACCTTTGAAGAACGAGATTATAAACGATCGAGTATTAATATGTTATAATCCGGAGTTACCATTACAATTACCATGACTAATCGCAGGGTTTTGTCACACGTGTTTGATGGTAAAGAGCATCCGATTGCATTTGCGTCTCGAGCTTTAACTTCAGCAGAACAGAATTACTCTGAACTTGATAAAGACTCTCTTGCAATCGTATATTCAGTGGATTACTTTGATCAATACTTATTTGGCAGAACTTTCAAATTGATCATTGACAATCACCTTTGACGCGAATTTTTCATGAACACGCAAATATTCCACGAATGACTTCAGCAAGACTTCAGTGCTATGTAGTATTTCTATCGATCGGGATTCGACTATGAAGTTAGTTTAAAAAAAAAGGAATCATCAATGCAAATGCGGATTGTTTATCGAGAGTACTAATTTCTAGTAATCTACTCACAGATGGAGCAATTGACGGAGAAGTTCATTTGTTATGCCAAGAGTCAGTTTTAACTAGTTTAACGCTGAGCATAACATTTGAATCAATACGCAATGAAATTTTAAACGGTTCCTTTGTAGAAAATACTTCAAGAGTTAAAGAATAATTCAAACAGTGCATGCCAATTTACCATCGATAACAACGTCTTATTCAGAGATCAACGAATTGTTATTCCAATGTATCACTTCACCCATTAATTCTACAAAAACTTCATCGAACACACTTTAGAGTATTAAAAATGAAATAGCGGTATGTATATTGGAAGGACATGGACAAGAATATCGAACCTTTAGATTGATCGTTTGAAGCTTGTATTCCTCATAAAAACAGTCCTCCGAGAGCTCCATTTCATCCCTGAACGATACACCAAAAGAGAACTTGCAGCGAATTCACATTAATTACACAATACCGTACCAAAGTTATTATTTTCTCGTAATCATTGATACAAAATCGAAGTGGACTGAGATGAGGGTATGTATGATTAACCCGCAACGCCAACTTCTATTTTAACGATTGATCTACTCAAAGGCGTTTTCGCTCGAAATCGATTTCCTGCCGTCATGGTATCTGGTAACGTAACTATTTTCACTAGTGAAGAATTTCAAAAGTTTTGTACAGAAAGACGTGCAAATCTTGAAAAACGTCTTTCAGCAATTATGGATGAAAAAATAATGATGAAAGAGAAAATTCGGGAGATACATTTTAAGTATAGAGCAACATTACTGAATAATGGTAAGTCACCACTGAGTTGTATCTTAAACGACTAATCAGGATTCAATGGGATATTTTAGAACCTGTTCAATTTAAAGAAAGCTTTGTTTTTGCAAAAATAGCTTGTAAATTAAACGTAGGATAACGCGATCAAGCAAGATTATTCTCCAACAATAAAATGTATTGAAAATTTGGCACAATCATCAAAAAGTTTGGACATTTAAATTATTTAGTTTAATTAGATAGTAGATATGTTTACAAAAGTCAGATTGATCAACTTTTCAAAACTGATGTAAACAATGAGGATCAAAATGTTCCGGAACCATATCAATCAAAAGAATGTCATAAGAAAAAAAATCACTCCAATTTCGAAGATGTAGTTACACTCCCATTAAACATGCTTAATCAACAATATCAACCACTGATTCAACCAATTCCGAGAGATATTTTCAATGATGAGCCAGTTCAGCATTCACCGGAGCCAGACGATATACCAGAACTGATCGATGAGTCACTCGAGTAGACGAACCACAAGTTGAAGAACAGGCTACAATTTATTATTCATCAATCAAACAGACAGTGAGAAGAACCAGCGAATTTTTAAAATTATGTTAAACGTTAATTGAATTAATTTTGTTGTTGTTCAAGTCCTTAAAAACTACATATGTTTTATTAATCGTGGGAGAAATTGTAGTAATTCTAAAACACTCTCCATGCATTCGATTATTTCAGATACATTTAAACCATAAAAAAAGTCTGACACGCGGTATATGTAAATAAAAAGCTCTCTTTGGATTCTCATGTTTGACAATTAATCACAATACGTTATAACAGTTATTGAACGTTCAACTTGCTTATAATTTAAAAACAGTTTTACGTATGCTGATTAATTGTAATAGTACATTACGATACAAGTGCGGGAAAATAGATTCTTGCCTCGTGTGGCGTTTATGTCCGAGCGAAGCGAGAAACTCATTCCCGAATATGTGCCGTACCGTATTTTTTGATACGACGTGTGGAAAGTCCGATTTTCAACGCACGTTTTTTGCCGAGCGTGCGGGAAAAACGCACCTTTCCGCACGGAGTGTCGCAAAGGTAATATCCACGTTTGATAAAAATGGCCAGGTATGCAGAATTAGACAACACTCGGATAGAAAGAGGATTTTCGCTAAATGTGTTTGAGAATATTGGAAAATTGTTTTCATGTTGCGACAATATGCCAAAAGTGATATTAGAGACTGGTTTTATATCGTAATTGTACAATAAAAAAATGTGAAAGGTCAGTCAAGTTCATTGACATAACGTGTTCATAATAACACAACAGTAGCAGGTAACTGGTACGATTGATATATTACAGTAGTAGTTAAAAAATCAATACAAATAGCGCAAAACAACAATTGGAGTACAGAACTCTTTTTTCCACTTACAAGTCTAATGAATGAAATAACACAGAGCGAAGAAGCGTCGCACGTAGAGACAAACTTTTGTACAGAGAATGACGTTTGGTCGAAATAGCGAGACGGCAATTACTTTGGTAACCAGTGAAGTTGCGAAGGCGCGGGCGGTGGCCGAAAGTTCAGCTGCTCTCTCTGTGCTGCTTGAATCTGGAGTGGTGCTCGTCGTCGTCTCTCGGAGAAGTCGGGCAGCTCTTGGACATCTCGCCGTTCTGGATGTCGACGAGGAGGCTCTGCCTGCAGAGCATCGAGACCGTGCTCATCTTGTCCTTGTCCTTGTCCTTGGCCCTGCGCAGCTTGGCCCTGCGGAACTTGCTGGCGATCTTGCTGAGCGTGCCGCTGCGCGCCTCGTTGGTCTGCAGTCGCTCGTAGGTGCGCGAGTCGACGTTTATCATGCCGGCGCTCGCCGACTTGACGAACTCCACGGAGCTGCTGGAGCCGGCCTGGCTGAGCCGGCACGAGCTGTCGATCGAGGGGTCGTGCGAGCGGCAGCCGGGGCCGCGCGACAGGAAGTCGTCCTTGGCGTGGTGCGCGCTGGCCGGCGAGGCGCTCTGCCGGCGCCCGGCTGCGCTCCTCAGCGCGTCCAGCTTGTGGATCAGCTCGGGCGAGATCCTGCCGTCCGCGGAGCTCCTCCTGCTCTGGCCCTCGCCTCGCATGGGCAGGGTGGTGCTCTCGGGCGCCAGGCACTGCTCGATGCTGCTGAATATCTCGGGGCTCTTGTTCTGCAGGCTGTTCTTCCTTTTGGCGGCGTCCGGCCCGACGGCCCGCGGCTCGCTCGGCAGGTCGGCGCTGCCGCGCTCGGGGATGTCGCTCGCGGCCGGAGCGGCCGGCGCGGCCGGCGCGGCGCCCGGCGCCGCCGCCAGACTCGACGGCCGGATGAGGCCGGCGCTGGCGCTCTTCTCCAGGCGCATTCCGTCCTGCGGGCCGCGCCTCGGCGAGCCGGCGATCGCGCGACGCACCTCCTCCTGGTACCTCTCCATCTGATTGCGCACTCTGCGCTCGCTGGTGGGGGACCTCCAGATGGGCGAGCCGCTGCCGCTGCTGGCCGGACTGCCCGACTCCTCCTGGAGCTTCTGGTTGTAGCGCTGGATCATCATGCGGATGCTCGGCGCCGTTTCCTTCGGCGACGACCTGCGGTAGTCCTTGCGAGCGAGTATCGGCGACTGGGGCAGCGGCGGGCGCCTTTCGCTCGCGATCGGACACTCGGAGCTCGATCTGCTCCTCTGGATGTTGAGGATTCTCTGGGACACGCCCGAGCGGGTCGAGCTCCTGCTCACCGACGCCGAGGCCGGAGGCGCTTGCTGCTCCGGCCGCGGCTGCTCCGCCACCTCGGCTGCCTCGGGCTTTTGAGGGCTGCAGCTGGCGGCGCTCTTGTCTTTGGCGTTGCGCCGACTGAACGGCGAGAAGATCATGCGCTTCGTTTTCACGAACACGCTTGTCGACTCGGACTTGCCGCTTATTCTTTGGCGGTAGGCCTCCTCCTCGTGGGCGTCGGTCGCCTGCTGAGGATTGCTCGCGTCGCTCGATGGCACCACGTTCGCCAGCTGTTCGTTCGAGTTCGTCGGGACCACGATTTTATTCAGCGTGCTCTCGTTGATGATGATTCGTTCGACGCTCGGTCTTTCCGGGAACGTCGACACGGTCAATTCGTCGCTCGGCTCGGCAGACTTGTCGTTGAGTTGTTCGGACGATCGACGCCATTTGTATCCCACTTGCGTGTCCGTCAGCCTTCGCGTCTTCAACACTTTTTTCGGTCGCATGTCGCTGCTCACGGTTATTATTACGTCGTCCATCTCCGTGCTATTGGGTGCTTCTCTGGAATCGCAAGTGATGATCACGTCGTTGGATGCGATGCATTTTTCGAAACTGCAATCGCCATCTGGAAGGTAACAATTGCGATATTCCCCAGACTAACACTAGTTACGCGAAAATGCAATCCAGAAACAAAACAGACTCACTCTCCCTCGTTACACTGCCCGAGGTGATGAACGTTTTGAATAGCTTTCTCTCCGAATCAATCGACGGCAATGCGACACTCGCTGGCTCAGCTATACTTCCATTCTCGCGTTTCTTCGCCGACTCTTTAGGTTTGTCATCGTTGCGGGTGTTTTTGTTCGCATTCACGATTGGATTAATCTGAAACGAGGATGATTGACATGACGACTGGCAACGGAAATCTCTCGCTTGGATACTCTTACAGTTTTCGTCGTACTCTCCAGCGGTTCGAAAAGCTCGTTGTGCGTGGTTTGCTTGGCACTCGACATCTCCGCATTGGGGCTAGATTCCTCTCCTGGAACGAGAAGATTCTACTTTGGAATTTATAATTTTAATCTTCAATCGCAGTTTCTTACCTATGCGCAAAGATGCAACTTCCTCTTCGATTATCGTTTCACAAATGTTAATGTCGTTTGCGTCGAATATTCTGAAAGGAACGTTACACTTATCGAAAATCATTATCACGAAATAAGCTTGCCGAATAATGGGAAAAGAACCTTCTACGAGTGTCGTCGCTGCTATCAGAATTATTTGCTCGTGATGCAGACTGCGTCGCCTCCGAGTGTGACTGCAAACCGTTTTTAGACTCCTCGTGTTCATCGTACGACGTGGAAAATCGGCAGTGCTTGCGGACTCTCTAAAAATTTTTTTAAAAGCTCGTACATACATTCGGATCGGTAAAAATGTGTCCGCGGTTACGCTGAAATTCCAGTTAAAACTATTAGTTGCTGGTATTTCCTACGTGATGGGTTTCTCCGGCTTGTACGAGAATAACAGGCGACGGTTCGTGACTGGCGGTTACAGTGCCAAGTGGTATGGCAATACTGGTTGTCTCGCTGGCGGTCACACAGTAAACTGGAGTCTGTTGTGGTTGGAACTTGGCCATAGGACTTGCCGTTTCCTCAATGACGTCCTCGATGTCAACGATCACTGCTTCCGGCTCCGAATCGTCCAACGCCAACTCCTCCAACATTTCCTCGTCGGCGATCGTTTGCTTCGAATCTATCCTCAGTTTAGCTACCCCCGCCACAACAAGTTCCAACAGTTAGCATGAGATACGAGCAGTGCACGTTGTCGAGGCAAGCTTGTGTATGTCAACGGCAATGCTTAACTCTACATTTTATTGAAACGGATACTCATTTTTTTAAATCTCTCGGTCTATTTCCAACCTTCGCTTCAAATGCAAACGTCAAGTAAAAATATGTTTTTTAATAATGTAATTTGACATTTTTCAAAATTTTCCACTTATTTTTTTTCTTTCTTATTTTCAAAGCTTCTAAGTTTCTTCTTTATGGATAAAAAAATGATATTGTACACTTTGATGATTGATAATTGCAATTACTAAACAAATATTGAGATGGTTGATTTTGAGAAAAAATAGTAGAAGTCGGGGCAGTTGAAAAGTGAATATACAGCATGAAATATTATTTATAAGTATCTGTAAGTACCTCCGTTTTCTAAATTGGTCGCGTCGTTTAAAGATAGACTCGATGGTTGTCGAATCGGAGTTTCGTCTCGTTGACTGCTCTCCACGACGCTACTCATGGACTTGGAACGTTTTAAAGATCTTGGATACGTGTCGTCTGTGCCATTGGACGATATTATTTAATGGCATTGCGAGCGATCGTTTGACAATTGAGTTTATATTGTGTTATCAATGTTTGCTTACGGTTAGCATCGGCGTTTTTATTGATCGCGGAAATTTTGTACGCTGGATGAAGAAGTTGAAAAGTTGAAAATTCAGGTTTGATCCCTTGACTTTTTTCCCATTCGTATAACTTTTTCGTGAATTCTTGAGAGATTCCTTCGAATTTGTAGTATCCCGTGGACGTGTGCACGAGCACTTCTCTTTTTGCGTGCGCCGAGTTGAGAACTCGACTCGGATCGTTTAATCTGAAAGTGACGCTAATTATTCATTACCGAAAATCCAAATGCAAGAAATTCCTGGTTTTTACTCAAATTTAGGAAACGTAAACGAGTTATTTGAACGAACATCCGATTAGTTGAATAAGGCCAGTAGAATGTACGAGTGCCAGAATTACCTCAGTTTATGATCTAGTAATCTATCTCGCTGCTCTTCGATCATTTTCTGTTCTCTCTCTATCATCGCTATCACTCTGTCTAACGGCTGGAATTCTTTTTCGTCCAATGTTTTCCACCTCTCGCTCATTTGTTTCGCCTGCTGGATTAGCTCGACCGAACCTTTTCTTTCAGCAGCACTTTGCTCTTCGTCGGAACGCGTTGATTTTATTTTTTTCCACTCTTCCATTTTCTTCCTGAAGTCTTCCGACATATGCGCTTTTCCTGCAAAATAATCCGATCAAAATCGTTACCACATTATACTCTTGCAGCATCAACTTCGTATGCTGTAAATTTTTTCTCAAATTTATAATCGTTGAAAAGTACTCTAATCGGAATATAATCGATAGAAATTCGTTGTAGCATTAAAAATCCAAATCTAACGTTTTTTCAATTGGTCTTCTCATCGTGAATAATTTGTCTGTATGTAGCGTGAACAAAAACTAACTCTCGTAATAATATAACTTTTGCAGCTGACATTTCGTTACACTCGCACTGTCGGAAGTCAATATTTTGTGATTTTTTTAAAATATTTGTTGTCAATAATTATTCCGAGTGTGAGTAGCTTATGCCGTTTTCCAATTAGCAATTAGATGTCTTATATAAATCGTTCGTGGTAGTATATTTGATAGCGTTAGAGCACATCTTTATAACATTGCCGAACTCATTGGATCGAGTCACTTGGACAAGCGAACTAAATTTGATCTTGCGAAAAGATGTTTGTTATCCGCGTTAACCGAGTAAACATGCCGATAGTAAATAATTTTGCCCGGTGTGATCTTGGAAGTCGTCTCCGAATAAAGTAACGGACAAGCAATTCTCACCAGGCTCGCTTTCCGGAGTCTTGCTTTCGCTTTTAGCGGGCGTCCGCCAAATCTGCCAGTCGGTCAGCCGCCTACGGAACAGTTGATTTTCGGGCGACGTCGTGCCGGACGGATTGCTGCCAGTCTTCTTGATGCGCTTCCACTCCTGCAGTTTCTTCTTGAATTCGGGAGTCAGCTGCTCTTCGCCCATCAGCAGCGCGTTAGCCGAATCCTTCTCCTTCGGCGAAGTTGCGCTCGTCCGCGATGTGCTTCCGGAAGACTGACCGTTCTTCATGTTCTGCCACTCTGCGAGCTTGCGGTTGAACTCGACGCTTAGTTTGTCGTGAAGAATTTGGTAGTTTCGCTGGATGTCGCTCTGAATGCTCGGACTCGCGCCGCCGTTGTTGTCCAAATCCTCGGCGCTCGCGCTGTAGCTGCCCCCTCCGTCGGTTTCTGTGTTCGTTCATTGAATTGTCAATTTACGGTATATTTCCTCTCGGAAGATCGACTTTTGCTCAAGTCGCAACAGAGTGCAATTTACGTCGAGAATTCGTAATCGAGAATCGAGGACTGCGTTGGATCGAGCACGGAAAATGCAGTGAACCGTCCGGCGACGAGGAGAAGAGCGTACAAGCGATAAATGCGAAGCGAATCCGGGTACGTAATTAAAAGCCTCGACAGCTCGAGATCGCGCTGATGTAAGTTTGCCTTTGGCCCTGTACTCTCTATGCATCTGCTGTCTGAGCTTTTCCACGAAACGAAGACGCGGCAGCTCATATAAACGCGCGGCTAATTTAGCAAACGCGTAAAATACGAGGGCCAGAGCAGCGGCAGCGGACGCGCATCGGTCTGCTCCTCGCGAGCGCTGCTTGTATAATGACGCGTCGACGCGCGGATAGCCGCCGGGTACCGAGACCTGCCGCCGATAAAATCTCGGCCAAACGTCTTTTTAATTATTTACGTCTCGTTGTTTGCCCTCGCCGCACTGTTGCGCATCGTCAATCTCGCTCGGCGGATTCTTAACAATGAGCTGCGCTGCCCGCGGATGATTACTTTACGATTGTTTATCATTCGGCTTTATTTGCTTTTGCCGCAAGCGCGAGCATTTGATTATAACGGCAATTTTCAATCAACGTAAATACCCTATCCGTCTTGCTATTGGCTTACCTCGGCTAAATCCATTTGAATTGCTCCTAGAAAGATGACCAATCGTAACAAAACACTACTTTGGCATTGAATACAAGTTCGAATACATGCGATTTTAAGGTTACATCTGTTTTCTCTTTCTTTGGTCGGTCAAAATTTCAGTATGTTCGTCTCGAAATTGACGGTAGCTGTAGCTTCTCCACGCGCCTTGCGAAACCTAACGACATTATCAAAGCGCTTATTCAGTAAGCAGTGCACCGCCGCTGACAAAGGAAGTAGGACGAGCGTAGGCGCCGAGAGCCGTTGCAAAAAGTACAAGGAGTCCTCGGAAAAGTGCCCGAGGGTGGGAGCGAAGAGCGATTGCCAAAGCGCCGGAGCTGCGGATTCCCAAACGAAAGTAACGAAAGCAATCCTGTCGCACGCGAGGCAATGCCAGTAAAGCTACTGTACCAAACGTGCCACCGGGCCAAATAACCAATCGAACAAACGAGAACGAATTAGGTTACGAGTCATTAATTGTCGAATGATCGCCGCGAGAGACGAAAAATAGCTAGACAGAAGCTCCTTTGGCAAAGACGATCGGTAGAGCGCAGACACTGGGCTGCCAAGGCGCGAAAGTGGCTTTGATCCGAGGCCACTCGGAAGCGCATAAATCGCGCGCCTCTTGATCAAAGAAGTTCGGTTGCCACATTAGCGCAACGCGCCGGTTGGTTGCCTCGACAGGCTGGCTGCGCTCGGCACGCGGCAGAGGCCTTCGGCGCCGCGCTGGCCAAGGTGCGCAGCGAGGCGCTCGCCCTGCAAACGTTCACGCGGAACTCCATCGACGAGATCGTCGGCTCGATGTATCTGGAGAACGCGGCTCGCCTCCGATCCGAAAGCAGCCGAGCGACGCAGAGGCTGCAGGCGGCCGTCGACAAGATCGAGCAGATAACCAAAATGAGCCTGGCGTGCGGCGCAGCCAAGAGGAACCAGTGCTACGCCATCCACGAGCAAATTTTCGCCAGCCTCCAGGTAGACCGAGGCGCTGCTCGCGAGCTCGCCGATCGCTACGCGCCCGATCCCCGTCCAAGGTTTGGCAGTGCGAGAACGCCTCGGGCGAGCGGAGCGTGAGGCGCCGCCTCGAGGAGCTCGAGTGCGCGGTGAAGGAGCGCACGGACACGGCCGTCGCGATAGTGCGCACTTGCAAGGGCTGCCGCAGCCCCGGCAACCTGCTGATCTGCGTGGAGGCCTCGGCCAAGGACGCCCAGTGCATACTCGAGATGAGCGACGAGCACGCGAGACGGGAGATCGGCGACGTGCAGCGGCTGAAGGCGCAAATCTTGCGGGAGAACGGCACCATCGTGCGGCAGCTCACGAGCGCGTTCGATCGAGCCGTCGCTCGGTTGGAAAACGAATTGGATACTTGCGCGGCGGAGCTGAACAAAGCGCAACGGACCTGAAGCGACGTCCACTTGGCCGAGTGGACGTTGACGATCCGTCCATTTTAAATTAGCCTCCTCGCGCACCACGTAAGAGCGTCCGATCGATCGCCGGCAAAGCGACGTGGCCTCTTCTTTGTTGTAACCCTCGACGCTGCTTCGACACAGCTGTTCGGAGCTGACGATGCGAGACAGTTGGTCCGAAACTCGACTCCGAAACGACTGGCAACGGTACGAAACGAGCTTCGGTTGGGAGAGAACGTGCCCGAACTGACCGTCGAAAAATGACGAAGTCCTGCTGGGGCTGGGTGGCACGGAGGAGGTACTCGTGAGGAAGGCTCTCTTGACTTTGTTCCACTTGGAGTCCTGGCGTTGCAGTCTGGGCGGCGGCTGCTGCTGCTGCTGCTGCTGCTTGTCGGCGGCATTCTGGCCCGCGGAGCGTCGCCGTTTGCCGAGCTCGACGCTGGCCTGGCCAGTCTGCGGCTTAGGCGAGGAAGCCGAGTCCGGCTCCTCCGAGGGCGAGCGCTCGTCCGTCGAGTCGAGCTGGCGGCGGCGCGAGACGGGCGACGCCGACACGCAGGACTCCGGGGACGAGAGCCGCAGCTCCTCGCTCGACGGCACCGTGATCGTCAGGGTGGGCGTGAGTCGCCGCGAGGCGAGGTCGACGACCTCGCTGCCGTTGCCGCCGGGGCTCGAGGGCTTCGGCGACGCCACGCTCAGCAGCGAGCTCTCCGACACGGTCACCTGCACCTGGCTGCTGGCGCTTTGATCCGATGCCGCGGCAATCTGTCGATTCGTACCTTACTGCACCGCGGATATCTCGATACGGGCAAGCGTCATGCGTTTTGTCCACTCACTTCGTGAATCATGTCGGAAGACTCGTGGCTCGATAGAGAGTAGCCGTCTTCGCTGCGCAAACTTGCCCGGGGCAGCGGTCTCCTCACGCTTTCCCGCCGAGATTGAATAATGTCCTTCACCATGCCCCAGGCGCTCTTGTGCCCTTTGTCCAGTCTTCTTACAACGCTATCCTTCAAATTGCCATAAAAACTCGCTTTTTACCAGCGCTCTCGTCAAAAATCAGCAATTCGACATTCTATCGAGAGTACCAAAGCTAATAAGCATCTATACACTCTAAAACTCACTCGTGAATGTTGAGTGTTTTGAGGAATGATAATTTCGCCGTCTAGAGATCTACTTCTACGAGTTGGGTCTTCTTCGGTCTCTCGCGTGGTCGGTCTTGCTGCGTGCATTCGTTTCCGCACACCTGTCGCATAAACATTCATTTTCTTTATTCTTTATTGCATAGTTTCCATTGAACAAATTATTTAAAAAATAGTAAAATTTTGCATTTCATTTTGCGGTATACGCCAATGATAGCTTATATAGCTGTGGATCGATTCTGTCGTTAAACAATCACGATTGGGAAATACGACGGAGTAAAACTGTTTTCAAACAAATGCCTGCATCCAAGGTCGAGTGTCTATGCCAAGTTTTTGGAATTGTTTGGAAAATGAGAAAAAGAAATGTTTAAATAATGACATTTATTGTTAGAAATAATAGAAACGGGTGAAAAACACGAGAGTAAAAATAAATATTTTGTAATTTCGGTGAAACAGGGAAACGTTCCGAGTTAAAAAAGAAACACTTTATAGAAAAACATTTCCCAAACGCGAGTTTATTTTCGATCGAAGACGATAAGTTATACCCATTGACAAATGTTGTTTTGGTCATTTTGATTGTAAAATAATTTGACGATTATGAATAATTTGACGTTACGGTAGAAAATAAAATCCAGAGACACGTTTACCAAATGATTTGCGGTGTAATTTGCATTAAGCAACAATACATAACTTATTTCTGCGATTCGTCGGTATGATTTCGACGTGGAAACTGGAGAATCGATAAGACACAAGGAAAAATCTCGTTTGACGCGCCGACTTAGTCCCAGAGTTGCACGCCGCAAGCTAGCGAACGAACGGCCGCGTGCACGAGCGCACGGTGCGGATAAAGTGGATAACGGTCGAAAAACTGGCAAACCGCACGAGCACGACGAAGCACCCGAAAGAGCGAGCGATCGTGGACGAACCTACCGGCGTAAAGATCGTCGATGGACGAAGAAGAGGAGATGGTGCCAGGGCTAGGCGGCCCCGAGAGCTCGGCGGTCCTCGGCGACGAGTCGGACGGCGTGGTGTTGGCCGTAGCGGCGCTGCAGCCGTCCGGCGCGTCGGGTATCTTGAGGAACCTGGCGGCGTCCTGCTGCTCGAGGCCGGTGCCGGCGCCCGCCTTCTCCCACTTGAAGGCCGCCTTGACCTTGGTCCACTTGCTGACCTTGGGCGGGACGGCGGCCAAGCCGAGCGCGCCGGCCAGCGAGTTCCTCTTGGCGCTGCGGCCGAGGTGGCAGCTGGCCCGCGTGGCCGCGCCGCGGGGCGGCGCCGGCGCGCCGGCCGCGGCGCCGATGGACCGGCTGCGCTGCCGCGCCACCGGCGCCCGGAAGCTCTTGGCCCGGGCCGCCCGCTGGGAGGCGACCGCCGCGCAGCCGGCCGCGGCCGACTGGCTGCCGGCCGAGGAGGTCGCCGACGACTCGAGCATCGCGCCGAGCAGCGACTCGGCGAAGCCCACGTCCTCCTCGGGCGCCGCGGGCTCGAGCTCGGCCCGCAGGAAGGTGCGCCGCGTGCTCGCCTCCAGCCGCTTCAGCGCCCCGAAGCGCTCCAGCTCGCGGATCCTGCGAAACAGCCGGGCGCTCTTGGCGCGCAGCTCCAGCATCTGCTCCATCATCGAGTGCAGCCGGTCCAGCTGCTGGAAGGCGCTCGGCTGCGGCGGGCGCCCTCCGCTCTCCGTCCGCGCGCGCGGCTCCGGCGGCGGCGGCGGCGGCGGCGGCGGCGGCGTCGGCAGCTTCTCCGTCGGCTCCTCGCGGCGCCTCCGCTTGCGCGCTCGCGCCGCCGTCCCCTTCGCGGACTTGCTGCTGCCTTCGTCGGCCATTGCGCGACTCACCGCTCGCTCTTTTCACGACTACATTCTCGACCTCCGATACTATTGCCATAGGCACCTTCGCACCGCGCTGCTTCATTCATACTCGGCGTTACTCGCTGCATCCATCGCCTGGAAATCACTTCCGATCGTTACTGCGACATTTACTGCTTTCGGCGATAATCTGTCGTCAAAGTTTCACTGCTTGTTTCCCACGGAAGCTTATTAACCCATCGTGGACGAGACTGACAGCGAGCTTGGACGAACCGAGCACTAGAAAATCACCCGTAAAGTGCACTGCGAAAATCCATGTGCACGCGTCTGACAGTCGTGGCCCTCGAAAGGAAGAGCACGGATGGAGCAAGTGTCAAACGATCGCGGACGAGTCGCCGAAGAAAACACTGATAAAAGTTTGGTCGCAAGCTCGCGCGATTTCCGGCAGTCGCGGCGAAAGTGCAGTGGCTGCTGCTGCGTGCTACGCCGTGGTTATTTTGGGCGCCGACATATTTCCGACGCGCGGGCGTCCAGCCGGCACGAGGGCTACGTTCCACTGTGACCACTAGAAAAAGAGCCGAGCAAGCGAGCGAGCTCGTCGTGCGCTCGTCGCCAGAGACACTAAAGCGCGAGCTTCCAAGTTGAGATCGGCTTGTCGCTTTTTCGGCCGCTCGCTCGCTCGCTCTCGCGCTCTCTCTCTCTCTCTCTCTCTCTCTCTCTCTCTCTCTCTCTCTCTCTCTCTCGCTCTCGCTCGCTTGCTCGGCGCACGCGCCACTAACCACCAACCTAGCCCACCATACGCTTTGTTGCTTTTCTCGAGGCGCGAGCTCCCTTTTTTTCCTCAGTTTTTCTTGTCTTTGCTTCCCCTTTTTGCCATTACGTTCGACAGCTCCGTAAAAGTAGGCTATTTTTTTATAGAAAAACAAAGTGACCGTACGGTATCTCGCTTCAAATAGATTGTCGCTTAATTCGTTGATCGATACCGGTCAATTATCGCATTAAGAGCCGAATCGTCAATGCCTAAATTTCATTGGTGTAGATTGCTCGTTTTGTTCAAACGTTGAATACGCGATTAGCGATGTATCTAAAATAGGTAACAAGAAAGGCTTTGCTTTTACAATATTCTTAGTAGCCCATAAGAAGCACGACCAAAATAGTTGATATATACGGCGAGCGCTTCAGCTAATCAGTTCGTCTGTTCTATTCGGACGAAGACTATTTAAAGATTAGGTAAACAATTGGAAGCGTTTGAAAATTTTTCGGCTTTCTTCGCCATTCGGATGTTTCGATCGGGCCGCAAGAGCACTGTTGCGGTTTCGTAAAACGGATGCTCTGGTTGTCGGCAGAACGTTTGGTCGACAGATCCGAAAGCCCAGGGAAGATAGCGGGCAAAGCAGGAAAAACGTTGAGTGTTGCCGTGGATAGGCATCTCTCTCTCTCTCTCTCTCTCTCTCTCTGAAAAGGAGCATTTTCCGTTGGCCGATCAGAAATAGCCTCACGCGGAAGAGTCTCGCTCGCTCGCCGACTGCAGCGGCCGCTAGGAGCCCCGAAGCAACGCGCTCGTGCAGCGTCGGGCATTCTTTCGGCCGAAGCTCGCTTCGTCTCTGTTTATTTATTTCCTGGATCGCGCGAGACTGCCCGACTCGAGGAGCACACGAGTGACACACATTCGCGCGCAGCGGCGTACGCGCGCGCGTCTTCTTTGATTTCGCTAGCGCTGACTGAATGGCCGAGCTTGCGTCGCCGCCGCCGCCGCCGCGACACCAGCGAGGTTACTGACCGACTCTCGTCGATGCCACGGGCCGAGCGCTCGCTCCGACCATTTTCACCACTGCTGCACTTTTTCGCGCGACGCCCGCGACCAACGAGCATCACTCGTAGCACTCTTTGTTTGCCCTGGTCGCGCGGCCGATGCGCGGAACAAGCGTGACGGCGCTTTTGTTTTCGACGGATTAAGCTACCGCCGAGAGGCTGCCTTTCGCGGCGAGTGACATAAAAATAGCAGTACGGCAATAAGGTGAAAGGTTTCGCTGTTGTATCGGTGCCACTGCCAAACTTTTCAATGACCGACGATTGCAAAGCGCGCGATTGACGTCGGAGAAAAGAGTCACGGGGAGAGAGAGAGAGAGAGAGAGAGAGAGAGAGAGAGAGAGAAAAAGACCTCTCGCCAGACAAAAATAAAGCTGTTTATTTTTAAAGCAACGAGTATAGCGCGGCGCTGTATAATTTACGTTTATCGCATCAATAGCCGCGCAGGTCCCGCGATCATCCTCATCGTAAATTTGGTTTTGTAACAACTGGGGCTGTTCTAAATTTGTTTATCCCAACGCCACGATATAACCCGCCCGGCCGCGCCTCTTTTTCAATCGCGCGACATACTTTGGTCTTGACCAAATGGCCCCTTAAACGTTCCACCGTTCACTTTCATGTTGACTTGACAATTGATAATCTGCTCAGCGGCTCCATTCCAAACTTAGGTCGATGCTTCAATCGGTCGTTTTATTTCGCGTTTGGTTGGTCATTGTACGTTTGAGAGGTGGGGGGTATAAACCTCAAGCTCGTTATTGATCTTTGGTGCGTGGCGTGAAGTGACACGGTGTAGGACATAAAAACAAGCAAACGACCGGAATAAATAACATTAAGGTCAGTGACGAGTTGTGGCTAGAAAAGCTAGAAAACCGCGTGTAGAGCGCATCCCTGAAAGGAGCCACAATATTTTGGTAGCGAACCGGTCGTCAAACGGCAAAAATTCCAGAGGCTCGCTGTGTATTCGCCGGTGGCTTCGCGAGCGAGGCCCCGTCGGAACGCAGCGGCAGTGGCGGCCAAACTCCTCGATCGATCATTATAGCGCTTTCCTGCAGTGCGTGCGCCGGCCTTAAAAGCCCGGCCGAGATTGCCTTGACGTCTCGCTCGAGTAAAGCTCGCGGGTTTGAACGCGCGCCAAGGCTGATCGGCGCTCGCGCCCTTACCTCGGCGCGCCTACGTAACTCGCGTGGCTTCCTTTGCCTTCTAATCGCAGCGAGCTGCTCCTCTCTGCGCCACCTGCGCGCTCTGCGCACCACGCGCGGCTCGCGAGATTCCGCCGTGGCCCGTCGAGCGCGACGAGCCTTAATGTTCCAGCGAAAGTCTTTCGTTCGGCGAACGACTCCTCTTTCTCTCAACGCTATTAACCTCCTTTTCTTAAGCCAGCCATGCGGAGTTTACAAAAGCAACACTGGTCCCTCGGAAACAAGTCAAACAGATTTTTCTGCAACTGTGTTGCAAACCTCTGCGTAATTGCGCACAACTAAATACTCGCCTAACGTCTTTTTGCACAACGTGGAAACTAATAATAAACAATTAGTAAATATACATAGCAAGAAGCTGCGCTCAAGGTATTAAATTGGTATTTAAAAATAAGAAGGATATTTTCAGAGATCTTCGTTAAAGAAAACATCGTCAGCGAAAACAAAATGAAGAACAGCCATTTAGCTTCAAACATTTATGAACAAGTTAAAAACTGAAGCTTTTTAAACAGTAAATTTATGCACGTGATCAAATAATTTCATTAATCTTCTATTTTTGAACCGATGACAATTCAGATTACAGGCTGGTATTTTTCTTCAGAATTTCAGTTTGTTTATTCCTTTTTCATTATCTATAACTTTGTAAATAATGAGCTTATCTCAGGACTAACGTTAGAATTGACACAAATCGATGTTTCTAATTTTGAAGTAATATATGTATGACGTTTAACAGAAAATATTTTCTTTCCGAGTATTAAAACAGTAGGAACGTATGTACTCAGCTTGAGTGCTTTAAACATTGTTTTCACTCTCCAAAGTTGCTATGTTTATCGACGTGATAAGTAACGTTGCACGATGGAAACATATTTTTCATCCATTCTACTCACATTTTAGCTTATACTTTATACAACAATGTGATGGCCTGCCGAGTGAAATCATTTTATTCATCATCTGATTGGCTAAATGTAGACATGTTGGTCATTGGTATGAGTAAATCGACGCTAAATAATAGACCGAGGCGTTTTACATTGATTTATACTCATTCGATTAAATGCATTCAAATAAGTATGGCAGTTGGTAGGCATTGTAAAGATAATAATGTCCACATTCTCTCGACGGCCTAACATATAACAGATTTATTGAATATCTTTATTGCAAAGTTTAGCTTTGAATAAACCTCATCAACAATGAATTATAAATCGATATTTTATATAAAATGCTGAGAATTGATATCGACACATTTGCTACAGTTAATTTATTTTAAAAAAGGTTAGAAATTTAATTTATAAATATAAACAAACTCTTGAAATGGTCATAGATCAATAGTTGAAAAACAGTTAAAATAACATATCTGTTGATATGGAGATGTCCTACGAAAAGCTAGAAATCAACGACCAATATGTTAAAAATAAAGAAAATTCAATTGTTAAAAAGGAAAAACAAGGTTGGTGCGCTGTCTATTACCTATATGGTTAAACTCCTAAAGATATGTTGCGTTGTCAGATTAAAAATTATATTGCTAAGTCGACGAATATCAACGTAATTGGATTTTTATTTACCAATTAATGTCGACGTATGGTAAGCGTTTCAAAGCATTATTTTATGTGTGCAGTGTATTTTAAATTTTATTCCTTCGTCTATAATAATTTTGTTTCGATTCAAGCATGAAATTGAATATTACCGAATACAAACAAAACGATACTAGTATTGTAAAAAGATCTTTATTAAAATCCAATGTATTAGTATTTTCGATTGTGTGATATCAGACAGGCGCACAGAAATTTTTCGCTCAACACATGCATAAATTAAATAAAGTCAATGACATAAAAGAGTATGTCCTGTCGAATGAGACCACTTGCAATCAAATGGATTGAGCATCCATACCCGCGAACACTTACAAAAATAAGTATAACTGGATTTTGAACTTGTTTATTTGAAAGTCGAACAACAGAGTACACGTAGTTGCAAACATGATAAAAGGGAAATGTTACGATAAAATTGGCTGTAATTTCGTTATGAATCAGGTAACAAGGCAACAATCAAACGTTAAGCTGCAATAGAGTAGACGGGATGGAAGAAGCGAGAGTTTGTTGATCGCGCGGGGAAAGCTCGCGCGCCGGTATGTTCTTTCCGGTGAAGACACTCGAAGAGACTCGAAGAGACTCGTATTTAGGTCAGTATCCTCTTGGCGTTGCGCAGACGAGTCCACGACCGCTCTCGCTTCCTCGCCGTCTCACTTGACATTATTAATCATCCTGCACGCCAGGAGCTTTCGCGCGACAAAGCCAGGCAATTCGTGTCCGACAACGACGAACGGCGACAGCTTTGCCGTTTGTTACTCGCTGAACGACGTGTTTCTCCCAGCGATGGGCCAACGGCTGTTCCCCACGTGGCGCTCGTGAAAATCGCTGCTCAACTTTCAATGTATACAAGGACCGATTGATTTGTGCTTGCGGAGAAGGCGCACGAGGAAACAACCTTGTCGACTGGCACGCGCTTCCGGGAATATTCAGTTTCCCGCCGCGACGCACCACTTACGTCGCGGTAATGAGGTTCTCGACAGTCTCGAGTGCTGCACTACTGCACTGCGGTCGCCGGCCC